TCGTACTCTCAGCAGTTACTGACCTGCTGAGTGCCCTTCAGAATGTTACTATGCCTTTCTAATGGAGATACCATTTTCTGGGGATGTTAATATCTACCCCAGTCCTAACTCTGTAAGAAAAGTCAAGTAATATGGGTGAAATTCCCTGAGATCTTCAAATTTATCTTTAACACTAAAATATTTTAGTTGTCTTTGAAGCCACAGATGTTATGTGAATGCAGTGTGTCCCCAGTGGGCAACCTCCCTCCCCACCCCACTCCCCACCCTCCACAGCGGGCCTCATAGTCCAAGCCAGTGTTGGGATGGCGCCCCAGAACTGGAGAGAAAGGCTGGCAGGCAGTTACACCAACTGTGGCTCAGGTGTGTGGGCTCTCCTCCATGGACTTCTCTGGTGGAGAGAAAACTCTGTACTCAGTGAGGCCGATTCCATCTGACCACCCTCCTGTTGCTGTCACTGAACCTTTCCACTCTCTGTTCCAAACTGGATTTTCCCCATTTAGAGGGCCTGCACTTTCAGGGCCCCCTCCTGCTTTCCTGGCCCATAACCACCTTCCCCAGACCATACTCCCCTCGTGCTTCCCTGATGCCTGCTCTCTTACCAAGTACCAGGCCCGGTTTTCTGACCACTCACTGTACACCTAAGAAGGGTATTGTGCTAAAGCAGGTGATGGAGCAGCCTAGAGAAGGGGAGAGACAGGTGGGAACAGTGCTCAGAAAAACATCCTGGTAACAGCATTCGGTGTCCTTTCTGCAGCCCAGGAAAAGCCTGGTGAGAATGAGAAAGAATCAGGGAAATAAATGGATTCTTGCAGAGCTCCCAATATGCAGTCACTATTGAGAATTGGGTGGCTTGGCCCATTAGGATATCTTTTATCTGAACTTTGGGCAGACTCTCTGCATCTATTAATCAATCAATCAGTCTCTCTCTCTCCCTCTCCCGCCCCCCACACACACACTTGTTAGTCATGGTAGAGTGTCAGTACTGGTCCACGAGCTGAAAAGTGGCTGTTTAGAGAGGATGCATCAAAAAAAGTGGAGTAAAGCATATGTGTTCACTACCCTCCCACCCTTGGAATAGTAAAGGACACTGCCTCCCCTCAATTTCTCTATTTGCCATTGAGTTTCTCTGTCTCCAGAGCTCAGCTGTTGCTTGCTAGGAAGTCCTCTGTCTGCGCTATCTGCTGACATTGTATTCATGGCACCGTTTCTTCCCATTAGCAGATGTCCCTGAGAGTAGACTGTATACCCTTAACTCTGAATTATTACATAGCTGCAATATTGATCATCTGAAACCATTGTTTTTTAAATCCTGAGCTGGCTTCCCTACACCATGTAAGTAATTTCTCCGTTGATTTCACTTATTGTCAGTTCGTTTGCGCTAAAGGGAAGAGTGGAATTTTTCTTAAAATGATCACATACTCTGTGCTAAGTGCCTTATCTTTTAATTTTCAAAATACCTTCACAAGACAGGTACTTACTATATTATTCTCAAGTTACAGATAAGGAAACTGAGGCTTAGAGAGATTAAGTAACATGCCCAATTCACTGGGCCAAGGAAATTGAATTCATATGTGACTCTTGCCTCTGATTAGCCCCCAAATGGATCATTTTAAAGCTAAGGAACTTATATGAGCTTCCCTCTCACATTATAATTCCAGTGTCTGTTTTGTACTCTGTGTTTTTTGCTTTGAATCTAACGATCAGACTTGCCATTTCTGGCCATAGGTTCAGACCTGGAAAACCATCCACAGCCACTCATGTAAACTTCCTTTCTCTGCCCTGAGAGCAACAGCCAGCAGACCACATCCGTTTCACATATAATGTTGAAAGCCTTTTTGGAATTGCTATAAGTAATATGCAGGAAAATAACAGGAAAGAAAAATACTTAACATTTCTACTAAGTGACATTGTTTCAAATCCAAACATATAGAAAGGAAAGCTGAGGACACCTGCCTACTCTGAAAGCACACCCCATTTAGTAAGACAGTCCCTGAAATGCCTACGTTCCACCAGGACAGCGCCTTAATAATTATTGAGAGCACATTCCTTTACAGAGCTGCCAAGTACTTCTTTCACAAACACTTTCCCTCATTAGCTATCATACCATTTTTCCATGGCAGCGAAGGCCACAGGATACCTTGCCCTATTTAAAATGTGGAACTGCTGATGTGCTGAGTGATTTAAGCAGGTTGCCCTCAGGTCCCACGGACAAGGCCTGGGCTGGAGTCCTCAGGGGCTGTGGGCACAGTGGGCAGAAGGCAAGGCAACCAATTGTGCAAGGACCACGGCAAGTGCTCGGTGCTGCTCCTCACTTTCAGAAGGAAACAAACCCAGACAGATGAAATCACTTGGGAAGGCCAGGGTCATGCATAAGTAACGGCCAAACCACACTCTGTGCATATAAACAACACACAGATCTGTGCTACGAAGGGAAAGATGACAACTGTGAAGAATCGATTTAAAGTCAGAGTAGAAGGGTGTGAAAGTGAAAAGCTTCCTCAGTGACCTTGCCCAAAGGAAAAACACACTAGAAGAAGGAAAAAGTTTCAAACAGCGAGAGCTCCTTAACATAGAAATTTCAGCTTCCTAGCAACCAAAATGCCATCTGGTACTTAAGAAGTCGTGTTTCCCAATGAAGGTGACAGGTGGACATGTTTTAAAAGATAGTGGGCCGGCCTACCATAGCCTCTAGAAAATGTGCCGAAAGTACCAGGAGGGCAAAGGCCAGCTTGAGCTCCAAACATGTTTATAGTTGACAGAAATGTTTCAACTAAAAATACCACGCATGACTATCTCTCCTAGGGAGTCTCTCAGTTCAAAAAATGTATCTGTGTAAACACCACACATAGGCTGAACTCTTTGCTTAGGAAGGAGGCTTCCTGAAATTCTCTCCTTTTAGTCTAAAAGTGAAACAAATGGTTCTCTTCTAACCCTGTGATCCTGTGGAGGATAGGGTCCCTTCAGCGGGATTGAGGGGAAGGAGATCAGACCAGAGTTGAGAGGGGCAGGCGGCAGGCCAGGACGATTGTGAATAAGTAAAGGAGAAGACTGAAAAGGTCCATGAAATTAAGAAATTGGTGGAGTAATTCCCTAACCATACAGCCATTTCTTCAAGTCATGTGCTTCAAAACATATCCTTTTATGCTTACAAACACAATGAGAAAGCTTTCTAATGGGACGAAGTTTCATAACACAGATCATGAGCACAAAGCACCAACACTGCGCCCCGCAGACAGCGACTGTTCTCGTGGCCGCTGTTACCTGGACACATCCAACCTCTTCTGTTTCACAATGGAAAAAACCAGAAACACAAATAGAGGCACATGTTTTAATGGGAAATTAGCTTAAATTTAGGAAATAGATGTCCTCCTACCTTGGTGCGTAGTCCAGATATTGAAATATTACCCTACAGAGCTCCAAAGGCTTGGGGGCTGGGGGCCTTTCAGCTGGGTTGTGAACGAGAGTATGGGAAGGCCTTTCTCCTGTCAGGTCGGCAATCAGAAATGAGGGAAGAGATGGAAACACCTTAAAGTGGTTCATCTCATCTGTCAAGAGCAGGGCGGAGAACAAACAGCACCAACAAAACACAAGTCTGTTATTGAGCGCGGGCTGGGAACCAAAGTGTCCCAGGTTCGATTCCCAGCCAGGGTACATTCCTGGGTTGCAGGCCATAACCCCCAGCAACCGCATATTGATGTTTCTCTCTCTCTCTCTCTCTAGCTCCCTCCCTTCCCTCCCTAAAAATAAATAAATAAAATCTTTAAAAAAAAAAACACACACACACAAGTCTGTTTATCCAAAGAGATGTCACAGTCCTGTGGACTACATTACTTAGAGCAGACCCCCTCATGTGGTCCTTCGGTGACAACATTCATACTTGCCTTACTATTTTTAACAAACCTGATGGTTAGGTTTCTTAAGTCAGCAGCAAACCAAATCAGTAAACTGAGGAGAAAGAAGAGTTTCGGCCAACAGACTGAGAGCAAAGGAGAAAACTATTTTTAAAATTGACCCAAGAGTTCAAAAAAAAGCGTATGGAAACAGTTAATGGGCAGAGGGGAGTGGGTGAGTAGTGTTGTAATAAGAATACCATGCAATTATTCCCACATCACTCTGGGTGGTCTGCAAAGTGATTTCATATGTTTTCTTGTGTCAACGCCAACACAGTGAGGTGAGTAGGACTGTATACATACCTCAGAGGCATTTGGAGCTTCGTCAGAGTCGGGTGCCACATGTTGGGGCCTGGATCTGAATAGGACCACCTGAGATCACCACGGTGTCCACCACTTACTCGACCTCAAGCCAACAGGGCAGATCTGCAGTTCAGTCCAGTCAAGGCAGAATAGCCAGTTAATTCTTAAGTTACATTTTGAGAAGATTTCTATCTAAACTAGGTAAATTGAAAGTGTAGGTCTTCAGAATGACCTCTTCCAATGTTGGCCAATAATTACCTAAAATCTAGGTATGAATGTGCCCAACAGGTAGAACACTGGAGGTGGAGAGGGTCCCCAAGGAGCCAAGCTGTGTAAGCACTGTTCTTAGTTCCCGAAGATTATAGAGAACCCCTTGTCTCCAAAGATCTCTCCTCTCTCTTATTTCTTATGTTTTTTTGATACAGTTAATGGGAAACACAGTTAAATCCCCTAATGATGACACTGAAATTGACCCCCTTAAAGTAGCCCTCCCTTTTCTCTACAGGATGACCTTTGAAGACTTTTAGTGGGGAATGTCTTGTAGCTTTCCAAGGAAGGCATTTCCTGACACCAGCAAACAGAAAGCTCTAGGCTGCCTTGCAGCACCTTACAGCAAGTTTTCTTAAAACACGAGAGGCCAGGAAGGATTGGATCTTTCCAATCAAGAGTGATCCATTAATGAATCAGACTTAATTTTTTTTAATTTTTTTGTTTTTGTTTTTTGTTGTCTTGTTTTTCTGTCTCTCATTCTCTCTCCCTCACTATGTCTCGCCCTGTCCTGCTTGCTGTCTCTTCCCACATCAACAGGTGAGAAGCCCCACCAATGCAGCATCTGCTGGCGCTCCTTCTCCTTAAAGGATTATCTTATCAAGCACATGGTGACACACACAGGAGTGAGGGCGTACCAGTGTAGCATCTGCAACAAGCGCTTCACCCAGAAGAGCTCTCTCAATGTGCACATGCGCCTCCACCGGGGGGAGAAGTCCTATGAATGCTACATCTGCAAAAAGAAGTTCTCCCACAAGACCCTCCTAGAGCGACACGTGGCCCTGCACAGTGCCAGCAACGGGACCCCTCCCGCAGGCACGCCCCCCGGAGCCCGCGCTGGCCCCCCAGGGGTGGTGGCCTGCACGGAGGGGACCACTTACGTCTGCTCCGTCTGTCCCGCAAAGTTTGACCAAATTGAGCAGTTCAACGACCACATGAGGATGCACGTGTCTGACGGATAAGTAGTATCTTTCTCTCTTTCTCATGAACAACACAAAAGAAACAAACACACACACAAAAGCTATGGCACTAGAATTTAAGAAATGTTTTGGTTTCGTTTTTACTTTCTCATTTTTGTTTTTGTTTTGTTTCATTTTGTACTACATGAAGAACTGTTTTTTGCCTGCTGGTACATTACATTTCCGGAGGCTCGGGTAAATAATAGTTTTCCCAGCCTCCCTCGGATGGTGGCCTTAAGGCCTGGTAGTGCTTCAAGAGGTCCACTGGTTGGATCTCTAGCTACTGGCCTCTAAATACAACCCTTCTTTACAAAAAAAAAATATTTTAAAAAAAGTAAAAAAAAATTTTTTTTTCACTTGTGAAGAGCACTACAAAAATATATAACAAAATCTAAAAGGCCGACTGTCTTTAAGTACACCGCTTGCAGTGTTTCAGTGGACATTTTCACAATTCTGGCCGCTTGGACTTCACAGTAACCAGTTAAAACTGTGGAATGTCACTTCTGGTTGAAAACCCAGAGGAAAGGCCCTGCTGTTTCCACCTACCACGATGTCTGATTTCATAAAAGGGCTGTGGAGGCGGGAAGGGGCAGTGGGTTTGGTGATGTGGGAAAGGCGAACGGCAGGCTTCTCCCCAGCTTCTGCCCAGGTCCACACACCCTGGCCCACCTCCTCCATGTCCCCGCTTTCAGCAGAAGCCAGGAAGACGTGGACAAGCATCAAGCAACAGTGGCTATCGTATTTATTCAGTGTCTTCGCTGAGCCACAGCCTCAGCACAATCAAGAGGGACTTTCATGAAAGGCAGGAATGCAGATAAAACAAAGATATCAGAGGTTTGCACCTACGTTTCTAGGTACAAGAGAAGGATTATTTCCAACAATCTTTGCAAAAAAAAAAAACAAAAACAAAAAAGTCAGGATATATTCTTGTGGAGAGAAAAAGAAAGAGGAATGGAGGGTGGGGGGAATAATAAAAAGTTCTTGAGGCTTTTTTAATTCAAAATTTTATAGAGGGGCAAAAGTGACGTTTACCAGATAGAATGCTGATTTTTTTAATATATTTACAACAGTATTTGTGTAAAAAAAAACAAAAAAGTGAGATTGTTAAAAGTCATTTTTTTCCATTTTGGGTTTGCATACACTGCCACCAATCCCTTCTCTTTTATTTTATTTCACACACATATATATATTTTTTGGTAAGTCAAGACTGTTAAGGTTAGCGATACTGCTTCCAGATAGAAAGAATAAAAGGCAATTATAGTTATATTTGAAAGAGAGGAAGGATATTTTCTTCATATTTTTTTTAATTTTTCTTAATTTTTATTTTAAGTATTGCCTGGGTTGATGAGGGCCCCTGGGCCCGCCCATCCCTGCTGTAATTTGAACTGCTGCTTTGTATTTTGATATGTAGTTCCTTGACTTTTAGCAAGCTTAGGTTGCTCCACTGAATATTTCGTTCAAATGATCCATTTAGAACTCTGTTCTTTTTCATGGGAGGGACTTCAGCTTTCAGAAATAGATTTCTTGGTTCTCTAAAAGTTCATTGATTCTAGGATTTCTATTGACTTTTCTTTTTTCTTTGATGAAACACTAGTGGGTTAGAGGTCTTGACAAATGGACTCTTTCCCTTTGTGGTCAGCCCGGAGGAGGAGTTCACCAGACTCTGCCGTAGCTCCTCACCCTTCACAGCTACAGAGAGCAGAGATATCCAAAACCTGTTGCAGAGCAGGACGCCTTGATGCCAAAATTACTTTCTTCCTTTCAAATATTACCTTCCAACTATTTACACCATGGTTGAGAGGGCAAAGTAAGATGATCGTTCTTTAGTTGATTTATTAACCTTTGCTTTTTGGAAAGGTTTTAAAGAAAGGAACAAAAATTTCCCAGATGCCAACATCCATCATTCAAAGGCCACCAATCCACTGCATCATCCTAGGTGCCACTCTCTCTTCCTAGTTGGGATTTCTCTCCTCAGTCCTGATCAAGATATTATAATAGAGATTTTCCCATTTGCACCAGACAGTGTCTGGAAGGGATTCCAACTCCAATGTAGAGTTTTTAAACCTATCAGAAATGCCAAAGGTGATTACATTGCTGGGCATATGTTTAACACACTTAAGAGGAAAATTAGTACTCCAAACAAAGCAGAAACACCAAACTAGAATTTTAAAAGAGAAGAAAATAGAATATTTTAGTTTTAAAATTACTTCGTATTTTAACTACTTTTTCTTTCAGCAACTTATTTTCAAAAACTGTGCAGCAAAGGAAGTCTTCCAAGGGAAGCAACTCTGTAATGACTAAAATGGTTTTACCCATATAGTTTAGATTTTTGGTTAATTCGGATCTTTTCCAGAAGTTCTCGTTGATGTTTAGTAGAGTTAGTGCAGCTGGAGAATATGTGAGCTTGATTCGTTCCCATGGTCCTTAATTCAGTAAATATTTTGCTAGAGGTTTTAATGTACATTCGGATGGTTAATTGACTGTTGTATATCACCCATCATGATTTCTAAGTGGAGTCCTGCCAAGAACTGTGTGTCCAAAATTGACCTGTTTTAAAAGTTAGTAAAAAACAGCTTCAGAACTAAGAAGAAGTCCACTCTTCTCTCGCTAATTTGGCTTTTTAAAATAGCAATGTGGAAAGACTCTCTATTTCCACTTAATACCAACAGAGGGAGCATCAGTTAATTAACCATGTCATGGAACTCTTGATATTTTGAAAACAAGTTATTCAGCCCACGAAATAAAAAAGAAAAAATTGACGTTAAAAGAAAAAATTGTTTTAATCTAGAGGGAAATGACATGATAGCACTCAGCATACATTATAAACGAACAAAGGCCAAAAGCCACTTTAAAATATTTTCAATCATTTCACAGTAGCTTTTAAAACTGTGTCCTTATTTAAACCTTAGCAAATTAGACAGAATTCATGATACCTCCAGAAGACTTGATCCTAGATGATGCCCTTATGGGCCACACGTAGCTTTCTGCTTCTCAAATTCAAAGGAGATTCATCTGCCTTAATACTGATTTGCCATGTAAAAAGCTAAGCAATTGGATTAAGGAACATGTAGGGGGAAAAGTTCCAACTGGGCTTGAAAAGCTAATATTCATTCCTTCAAAGGAAGTATCTCTTTTTTAAAAATGTCGGAGGATCCCTAAAGAATTCTGGCAGGGTCGCGTTCTCATTATGACACCATGGACCATTCAAGTTTGCATAGCTGTAGACTTTTCCTGCATGTCTTCTTGTGCGTCTCTTCCTCCCAAACACCTCACAGCCCAACGCTGATGACAGGTTGTTCTCTGGACAGATGAAGAAGCTGGACTGGAGTGGAAGGTCTAATCTGAAGGAGCTGTGTAACTGCTGCAGAGCCATTGCCGTATGTTCTGGCCTCTGAAAGGGCTGCTTTCCAAACTGAGCTACATTCTAGAGCACAAACCAGTCATTCCTATTTCAAAAGGACAGAGGTGCTTTTAGGTGGCCAGTCTTTACTTTTAAATAATCACAGACATCTTAGGAAATGGGGAAACATTTTGCTTCTAGAATAGAAGATGACCATGAATCCTTCTATTTCTTGACTTCAGACCCAACAATTGCCTTGCATTTAGTGCTTCATGCTAGGACACTACAAGTGCTAGGGAAGTTTTTGTCAGTAGCCGGGGAAAACGCGTAGGGAACATGGAAGCAAGTGTCCCACATTGAACATCTCTTAGGCTGCGTATGGGATGAATACAAGAACTGGTGTGGAAATAACATTTTTTAAGCAATTTATAATTTTAAACTGGACTAGCTAAACAAAGGTAAGGAAAATGTCAAAGAGGAATAGGTATCTCAAGGCATTTAGATACAGTTTATGAAGAAAAAAATTCCTAGCACTAAAAACTTGGTAGCATCTCAGCATAGCGGACTATATCCCCCCTATTAAATGGTAATGTTTGTACCCCCAAAACCTCGAATGTGTAAAATATAGCCTTAAAAAGGAAGGAATTGGAACACATGGATCTGAATGAGAACCCCCCCATCTGAAATACTTGCATATCAAAATGTCTTTTATTATATATTATAACTGACTCGTAAACTTTAGCTCTAAATAAGAGTTTTATGGACTTGCTCCTCCCCCGATTTCTAGTGCTCTGACCCTGAGCCATGAGAAACTCTGGTGGATAACGTCGTGCTTCTGTCCCAGCTGCAGTGCATTTCTTTCCCTCGGCATCCTGGAGTCTCACTAGCTCCTGGTCTTAGAAAGAATGAATTGGATCTGCTTTGTTTAGAAGTCATAGGGGTCTTATTTTGTGTCATCCCAGTATTCTACAAGGACCAAGAAAACCCTTTCCCAACATATGAACAGTTGGAATCTGTGCATTCTTATGTGAACAGAGAAAGGGTTTCCTTGGGCTGTGTTTGTTTCACCTCAGTCCTAATGGCCTCACCTACGTGTACTTCCATCATAAAAGCAAACCAGTAGCATGTACCCAGCCCATGCCCCAAATTGGTGTTTTCTCTCAGCACAGAAGTTAAAAATAACGTGTGCCCCCTGTAAGGCCCTCAGATCCCCAAGGGAACACAGTAAAGGTTCATGTTGCTTCCTGGTGTGGCTCCCATAATGGTCTCAACACCTGTTGCCCTTAGGAAAGGGGGCAATGAAGTAGTTCTGACCAGCATTCACACTGGATGTGCCCATTCTGGAGTCTTCCTCTGTTGTTACAGATGTTATTTAATCAGTTGGGGCTGGGAGTGAAGGATATGTGACTCTACAGCAAAGGTATTAGATAACCCATCTGCCTCCACTGTAGCCAGTGTGCTGCTGTAGCACAAAGAAACAAAACAAAGGTGCAGCGTAAGAGCATACACAACCCGAGATGCCCTTGGGATCTGGGATAATGCGAGAGTGCCCTTTGTGTTGTGACCTGATTCTTAAAAGAAATCTTCTGAAAGAATTCTTTAATTTAGGATTGAGTTGAAGTCCAGGGTAATGGAAGCCCTGGGGAAGAGAACAAAAAGATTGCAAAATGTATTCAGCACCCAAAAATGCAAAACCAAAAATCCCATCAGAATACTAGTTAGTTTGGCAAGAGGTACTTGGAGAAATCTCTGGGCTTTTCCATGGGTAGGGTTGATAGACTTCCTTTTCAGTGATTTCTGGCTGTGAGAAGCCTCTTAACTCACTAGAAAGGAACGTTATTTAAATGGCTAATTTTGTGTCCCAGAAAGAGAAATTTAAAAAAAAAAAGAAAGAAAAACAGGACACTAAAGACAGAACCATGTGACTTGGTGACAAACAGAAGGCAGGGCGCACTAGAATTTCAATAGATTCCCCAATTCCATGGAAGAAGCAAGGCCGCCCAACACCTCTCTGTCTGCAATGAAGAGAGTGCCCAAGCTGATCAGGCCACGGGGCTGCCGAGACTAGACACTACTTTCCAACTGGGATGTCCACAGCTCTTTCTGTTTACACAAAGAAAAGGGCTGTTCTTCTAGGTGCCCAGGAAGTAAGACTGCATGGGGCAAACTTTCAGAAGCAATCTCTACCCAGTGTTCAGGTTGCATATGGAGACAGGAAGAGAAACAGAAGTGCCCTTGATCTGGAGAAAATATTTTCCCAAGAGCCCTCTGTGTAGAGTTGCCATGTCTGAACCGGCTTCAGCCTCCCCAGAGGAAAAGCTCTGGTGACTCAGTGTTCCTGCAAACAGAGACCGTGGAGATCAGTTACCCAAAGCATCATTTCTGGAACTAGGTGTTAAAATGATTAGCCTGACCAAAATACCCCAAAGATTTTTCTAAGTCTCTGAACATTGTTTTTTCTTGGACACTAAGTCCATAGTAGTCAGTGGTGTACATTAACAGAGTCCAGAAAACAGGAATGCTAGGGTTTGTTGATTTTTAGGGTGCACAGGTAGAGGAAGAGGGCTGTGTGGCACTGGTTCTTTTTCAGAACTATGCATTTCACTGAAGGAGGGGTGGCAATACCCCATGTTGAAACAAGGAACATCACCTTTTCACACCACTAACTAAAACACCTGGACGCCAGTGTCTCTTCAGGCCCAGCCTATTGCTCCATATACTGAATACTTTCAGACTAAAATCTAATCTGAAGTGACCTCAGCTAAGGTATTTTTACAAGAAGCCACTTGTAGTAAAGAGTGATTGCCTTAAATCAGAAAGCCCAGAGGAGAGGACAGAAGATAGAGAAATTGGAAGGGTGTGCAAACATGGACATTTCTTGCTTTTTAGTAGCTGCATTATCACAAAAATGAGCCCTATTCGTGACTAATGGAAACAGTGGGTTTGGGAGGGGAGGCACCAAACTTGTCCAGAATTGGCTGCTCTCAGGAAATAGATGCTATTTCCTATCCTATTTCAGTAACATAGCTCTAGCTCTGAGCTAGAGGTAAAATAAACATCAGATTAGCTAAACAGTGAATTCCATAGGACAGGATCACAGGTGTCTGGGGTTCCATTCTGAATCATTAATGGAGAACAATCTCAACAAAACTTTCTTTCCTATTCAGTGTATATCTCTAAACTTTTTTCTCAGTTTTAGTGAGCATCTGGTTTATCTGGTGGTTCTTTGTTAAGTGTAAACTCACAACTTTCGAGTCTTCAGTGAAGGAACCTACTCTGAGATCGAAGGGGAAATCTAGCCACAGTAATAGGAGTCCCGGGTTTTGAGATACCTGATTAGGGCATAAAAAGTCCCTACTAGCCCACTTTCAAATTCAGAGGTTTCCTTGGTTCAATCAAAATGCCTCGATGAGATTCTGATACACCCAAGACAGAAAAAAAAATTAACCTCATAGTATACGTTTGTTTCTACTACTGTTGGATCTGAAGTTCGTTATTGCCCAGCAAAATCATTGCAGTTTATATGCAGATTCTAGTACTGAAAGGGACTTAACCCCCCAGTTTGGCACAGCTGCTGGCCAACATGTCTATAGATAAGTGTACATTATGCATGTACACACCCAGTGTGGGATGCTCTCAGTGCAAAAGTGTTCCAAATTCACAGTCCCCAGCGACAAGGTAGATCCTGGCACTTCCACTCTGTTGCCTTAGTTGGGTGTCACTGCCATCCACTATCTGTGACAAGGCTTTGGGGTGTTCTGCAGGAGCCCACCCATCAGTAATTTCTCTGAGAAACTTGAATAAGCTTTTGTGGAGTCAAGTGCACTTAACCAACTCTGCACTTCTATTGGATTTACTGGTGTGTGTGAATGTGTGTTTGTGTGGACACTTGTAGTCTGGGAGTGTGTGTGTGTGTCTCGAAGGAAGCACACACAGGAGTAGGTCCTGGTGCACAGACACAGTCTCTTCTTCCCACCATTGTGCTCCAGACTTGTGGCTCTCTTCCCAGGAAGCAGTCACCTGCCCACTCTGTTGCTTTTTGTAGCGTTTCAGAGTTGGGAGAAACAAAGGCAGCTTGTTGGATCCACAGCAAACCCACAGTGGCAGGCTGTTTTCCTCCAGAAGAAGGTAAAACAGAAGCACTCAACCAGCTAGTCAACAAGAGGGAGCGGCAGCCAGGGCACCTCCCCGGGTCTCCTGGGAGAAAGGGGCACTGAGGCCACGCAGGCAAGGCCCATAGGAACTTTGGCCTGAGCCATTCCGTGGCTTAATGGCCTCCATTTCTTTCCGCTATGCAACCCAGCGTGTGCACACAAACACCCACCCACTTGTATGTCCTACTCCCAAACTAAAGCTTCCTGACCCTGTCCGCCTCTGCAGGACATCATAAACTGTGTCTCCTGAAACCGATGTGGCCTTTGCCAAAGTCTTTCCAGGAGTGGGTTGTTTACTATGCCTAGCGAACCAATAGACTCTTGGGGAAATACTCTTTGGTGATCTCTAAGAACTGATGGCTCTCACCTATCTCAAACGTTAAAGTAGGTATACTATTCTATGTAAATGGGCCTGGCTCTCATAGCTGACTTTGAAGGGTGGCCTGGAAACATTCAGTTTTCTCACTCCCATGTCCTTTTACTAGAAGTTTTATTATTTTTTATGACATGTAGGTTACTTCTGCTAATTTACAGAATTCAGAGGACATTTTCTTTCCTCTTCTATTTTGGTGACTTTCCCCTCTTCCATTAAGTAAGGCTACTTACAGTTGCAATCTTTTCCTTGTTATTATTTTTTAAAATGTATATTGTCTTTCTATATCCAAAAGAATCTGTGACTGCAACCATAGGTATTTCTTTTTACTGGAAAAAATGAGGTTTTTCTTTTTTAATTAACAGTACTAGTGACTTTGTGGAAAAATTTGAGTTACTATTAAGGTATGCTTACTTAAGTACAGTACACTACATTGCAGTATTTCTGAAAGCTAGAACATACACATTATAACAACTGTATATTGAAATATATATTACATTATATTCATTTTAACTTTTGAATCTGCCTATGTTCATGAGTTGATTGAAATATTATTTCTTTGCATTTATCACCCATCACCAACCTGCTGCAGTTAATCTGGTGCATTTAATAATAATCATTACTGCTCTAGTTTGCTTTTTTAATCATTAGCTTCAGTATTGTCTTTACAGGATTTTAGGATATTTTTAAGCTCAGACTTAGCAAATGTAGGAAAGTGAAAACTTTTTGTAAAAAAAAAAACAAAACCTTTTTTTTGGTGTGGCTAATACAAAGAGGTTCATATTCAAAGTGATGCTGTTAAGCTGACCCTCTCAATATCTGAAGAACAAAGAAGTGCATATGAATGTGTCTGTGATTTCCCCTCTAGGACTGTCACTGTCTATATTTGCTTTAGAAAACATGGCCGAGAGCCTGCTTAATCTCCACACGACCTGACCAACCGCTACAGGCTGCGCCTCAAAGGGCTGCTCATCTGAAAGCATCAGGCAGCGAGATGCCTGGTTGTTCCTACTCTGTTTTCAAACATTGATTTTCAGGATTGGTTCTTTACTAACTACTTTCTTTTTTCAGTATGCTTACAATTATTTTAACTAGTCTTTAATGCTTCCCTGGAGGCAGCTCGGCAGTGTAATATTCATTTCCCTAGGAGAGTTTTTAAAAAATAAAACCGGAGTTTGGGGAACTTTTCATGACAGAGGCTAAGAGAAATATATATAAAATTTTTTAGTCTGCAGGATCAATAAAATAAGTGATGGCGCATGGGTACCTGGCCCTCAGTATCTCCAGCTGTCTGTTAAGGTGTGGTTTTGGTTCCCTTCTCCTTTAACCAGGCCATCATGGAAACTTCAGAAATTAGGCATCTTGTCTTCCTAGCAAGAAATAATGTCAAATACTGTTTTCAGAAAAAGACCTCTCTCATCTTCCTTCAGCCATTCAGACCAATGTCTTGGGAAACTGCCCAAGTGGATAAACTTTACGTCCATCCTGGGTGCCTGAAACCCGTCTCATTCTCTCCCTCCTGTTTTCATGATAGAACGAAAATAGCTGTTCATACTACTCAGCGTGGAAGCCTTTCCCACACTGGACCAATATTAAGGCTTCTCAGTGTGAAGAACACCAGTTTCTTCCTTTTGTCTTTCCTGGTGTATTCTTATTTTCAAGCCTCACCCCATTCTGCAGTGCCCCTGCAACACATGCTTCCCCGCCCCTGCCCCTGCACTTTCCTCAGTGCGCCCTGTTCTGGAGCCCGGCACTCAGGAAGGAGCTGCCTGCTCTAGACTACTTTGAAGGAGCTAACATGGAGTCTGATAGCAAAATTCTCAATCTGTTTTTCCAAAATTTTCAACGAAATCTATTTCTACTAGACAACATATACATAAATTGAGAGTTAGGGAAGCTGTGTCCTTTTCCAATGATCACATAATAACCAAATTGTGTTCACGCCATTACTTCCCTCACCTTTTCTCTTCATTTCTTGTTTCTCTGTAAGACTACTTTAAATCGCCTGTTTCTACCACCTTGCCAAGAACTCTAATAATTATGACACCTGAGCACCCATTTCCCTTCCCTTCCCCTACCCCGCTGTAAATGTCCTTCTTTAAGCTTTATACTTGAAGAGCATTGACGTGAGTTCATCAACTTGAGACTCGTAGGCAGAGTGAAGCACATCTTCACAGCACCTTCGGGTTCTAAAAGTTATCAATATTCTTTCAGAGTAGGAGGACCTGAGTCATAGTTTTAAATGTCAACTGTACTAGCTGAGGTCATTAATTCCTTTCACCTTCACATTTGGCCAAAGATAAAGAGAAAAATATTTTCTGTTTTTTTTCTTTAAATACCACAGTGTTCAATTCCTGATATGAGTGCACCATATCTGAGGGAGAAAAAAAATAATGTTAACTATTTTAACACCTGCTCATATTTAGCCAAATTACCAGAGACTACATTTACAGAAATCTAGCAAAAGGGCTAACATTTCAAAATAATTTGGATAACTGCTCAAGCCTTAGTGAGCTCTTCTAAAATAAGTAAAACACATTGTAGGAGACAATTAGGAACTTTTGTCATTTGTTATCTTTTGGAAAAAACAAATAATTATTAATTGGTTAGAACTTTAAGCAGTAATGTACTAAGACATTGAAAGATTCAAAACTTTTCTAAAGTATCTACTTTGTAACCAGCTATTTTTAAACATAAACTTAATGTATGTTTAAATGAAATACTAGGGACTGACTAGATCCTGTGTGATACACCCCCCAGTTCCTAAACTCTTACCGTATAATTCGGTCCTTGTGCTAGATCTCGTTTCTCCAGAGTGTGGCCCCAAAGACAGTGCTGTTCTGGGTGTGGCATCTGCATTAGTCTAGGTTAATGTCTAAATCCTCCTTAATATCCTAGAGAGTCCAGGGTGTGGATTTCTTATTGCTTATGAGCCTCCTGCTTTCCCAAGCTGACACCTATCAAGAGCACCAATAGCCCTCACAGTAACTAATGCAGCAAAAGAATGGTCAGAAACATTATCATATAGATTTGGGAGGATTGGAAGGAATTTCTTTTTTTTTCCTTGTAAAAAGCTTGCTTCCTCCCCCAAACCCCACCACAATGCATTTCAGAAAGTCTGCATCTCATTTTACAGATCTGTAGTTTTAGTATTTACAAATATAGCTTAGGAAATCTAATGAGATTGAGGCTGGTAGCAGACCAGTTTATTTTCTGCACTGGACTTTAGGACAAGTGTGACAGATGCAATTCCTTTAAAGAAAGTGAAACTAACATAGTAAAGCCAAGGGATAATACTTTTACACATTAAAACAGTTGTTTGCTATCTATAAACCTTGATTTAAGCATAATTACTATTTTTTAGAAATATGAAACTGGAGGAATGTGTATTTCAGTAAAGTTTGTCTGTTAATTTATTTGTTTACCTTTATCTCTTTCTTCTCAAGATAGTAAAGATTTGGATTCTTTAATTTGGTGGCCGTAAGCAGCAGTTGGGTAACTGCAGGCCCTCTCCATACTCCTCTCCCTCTTGCAGTGAAAAAGCCTTCCATCCTACCATTTAAGGAGTCTTTTCTCCATGAAAATCTTATCTTTCTTTTCTAGTAGCCACGTGAGAGCTTTGCAGAGAGAAAGTCTCTCTGCACTTTCAGGGTAGAATAGTTAAAATAACTGTTCCTTGAAAAAGACACCCCATTTACCTAAACTAACAGGTCTTGGGCCAAAGAATAGGAGTTGACTGCAGGTGAAGGTCATTTATTTTACACTACATATCTTATCATCTCCTCAAATTTTAGAAACACGGCTGGGAATAAGTTAATTTAATGAGAATTCTCTTTGGGTGTGTCTTGTTAATATCTAGTGCGGAATACCCAGAAAAGGAAAAAGAAAAAAAGAATTGCTGCTAAAATCCATTAATCTATACCTTTCTGTGTCCATGAGGTCTTCAATAGAAAAATGCCCTCCCTCCACTGCTTCTCACCTCTCCCACCTGGCACTGCAGGTGCAAGGGGCCGAGGGAGACTGGCCCAGACTGGAGAGTGCTCCACCAACCACACACCCCCACACAAGCAGGACAGGCCCAAGTAGAAACTTTTATTTTTAAAGGAAAATTGTAGTGTTTCATTTGAAAGCATACTGCTTTCAACTCAGCTCAATTTACAGATAGCCTGGCAACCTTTTTATAACATGTGTTTTGTGCTATAATTTGTGTTCTTAGCTCAATCTTAAAAATAATTGCCATTTCAATTAAATGAACAGAGGAAAAGCGAGAGGGAAACAGGGCAATGCGATGGGACTAAATCTGATACAGTTGTGGTTACCAGAGACAGTTAACACCATTCACCCGTCGCCATTCTTGCCCACCTCTCACTATTACAGTCCCAAGAATTAGTAAGATAACCTCTCTTCTTTGTGATTTGAGACTTCTCTTCATACTGTCAAACCCCTGTTGAGAAGTTGTGGAAACCCTTGACTGCTCCAGATCTAACCTGCCTCGAGGGGACATGCAGAGAGACAACTGAAAATAAACCAGTGGTTCAGATTTGATACCAGATTCAGGCATAACTGGAAGTGCTTTGTGCATGTCCACTGCCAGGGGGTCTTTGAAAAATAAGGCTGGTTGCTCAGCATCTGCCCTCCTTGGGACAAACTTTGGTTTGGAACCATCTGTATGTCCACTTGTAGGAGAAAATGGTCTAGGACATGGTCGGCAGTGAAGCTCCTTCCTTCATCCCATGGATTTGAACCTCAGATTTCCGGTGGGGGGGGGCTCTTAAGATATAAACTAACCGTAACTTTCATATATCTTATTATTAAATTTTTTTGCACTATTGTTAAAAGAACTGTGGTTTTCAGAGTACGTGAAAGCAGACTATCTTAGTAATCTTCATCATAGCAAACAAAGGCAAAAAGTTGACAGAATCGAGAGTATCTAAGTAATTTGAGTGTGCCCAACCCACTATGCCAAACACTTCTGTTTATATAATCTGTTCTAAACTATATAGTCATTCTCCTGAGGCTTCCAGCATGTGTGCGTGTGTGTGCGTGTGTGTGTGTGTGTGTGTGTGTGTGTGTGAGAGAGAGAGAGAGAGAGAGAGAGAGAGAGAGAGAGAGAGAGAGAGAGAAGACAGCAGATTCATATTTGGAGAGTGGAGACCCAGACAAACTTACTCTTGAGGATTCCCAAATGCACAGCATTTCTCCAGAATCAGTACTGCCATATCCTAAACTAATTCCAGATTAATCTTAAGTGAGAAGTAAGCTCCCTAAGATATCCTACTATGAATGTTTTTTCTTACAGAATAATACAATAAAAGGTACAATGCAGACTCTTTAATAATTTGCTTTTATATTTAGTAACTACACTTTTCATGTGAGTGTGTCATTGAGCTATTTGTACCAATTTTCAACCTATCATCCTAAGAGGGGCCTTGATAATTTTTGTGTATGTGTATTTAGATGTATTTATGTGTATTCAGAAAAAAAGTGAATAGGAGAAGAATGAGGCAAGGGAGAGGGTGGTCAAGTGAAGAAGTGAGTGTCCCTCCTGCCCCTATTTATGTTAGGTGAAGCGGCTGCTGTCCGAGGCCTTGGAGGAAGCGCTGATTGCACTATTCCACAATAAGAGCCTGGCACTGTTAAATTTAGGACCACATTTTTGAGAAACAGGAATGCTTTGTCTTTTCCTGTATCCATTCCCTTTAGCATCAGAGCCATTTGACATGATGAAAACCATTCAATAAAACCACTACTGACCTTTGCATTAAGTAGTTATTTTCCTTTTCTAAATAGTACCCTTGTTTTCAACTCGACTGCTTCCCTTTGTTTTCTGCCAATTGGTGTAACGGTTCACAGAACAATGCATAGGTGCATGTGAGTTGTTTCTCTCCCCTGAGCTGAAACAAACAGAGGCAGCAAAAGAGATGACTCACAGAGGTGTAAGGTGGAGACTGAATTTCCCACTTTTGTGGCACTGGTAACCTTTAGTAAGAGCTGTTCAGGGTTGAGCTTGGGTCTGTTGTGATAGGGCTTTTTTCTTTTTCTTTTTTTTTTTGCACTAAATATGACTGCACTGCATTGCACTACTGAAATGTATTTACTTGTGCTGGGAGAGAGTGTGTGAGGTATGACAAAGAAAGAAACAAGTTATGAAACTAGAAGTATCACAAAAATGGAGAGTTATTTCCATCGTGATTGGTCTTAGTGGGGTTGGTGAAAATCTGTGGAATCTGCCAATTCTTAATAAGGCCTAGAAACTGCCATGCTGACGGGATCTGTTTCCTTATTATCGGGAAGCTGGGTTAGTGTAGTAAACATAAGATGTTTAAGAGAAATTTGGCCAATGTCATCTCCAACTGAACTCTCAGTAAGAGCTGCAGTGGTAAGGAAGCCAGCCGCAGAGGTGGGAAAACCTTCACTTTGGCCTGCCCACCAGACCCCTTGCTGATGCATATTCCAGTGTGGCAGAGTGCAGTGGTAATGTCCCCCTTTCAAAAAATAAACCAAACCTGTAGTGATGTCCACATTGGAGAGACCCTTTCAGCCTGAGCATACTTTCCATCCGTGGGTAAAACCTAGTTCAAGCTAACCAAAGAGGAAGGCTATGCATGTGGTAAAAACCCTTTAAGATGACAGTAAGGGAACAGTGCAATAAACACAGAAAACCAGTGAGGTGAGAAGCTTATTTTGAAACATGCTAAGCCAACTTTGAAATTGGAGGAAAGGGTTGGAGGATTGAACAGAACCTACTTACTAGCTGCTCTGGTGTAGACTATCCTTTATTAAGCAGAAGACCTCCACAGTGCCTAAAAGTTTAATTTGAAGTTGTTGGTTTCTTCAATTTTTTAATTGGATTTATTTTTATTGCCTTGTTTAATCTTAGAAATAATTAGAGGTTATGGCTCTGTAGTGTCCATTAATAATCTTACATCACAAGAAAAACAATAGGTTGTATAGGGAATAATAACACGAGGGGGAAAATGCTGAAGACTCTTCCAGAATCCAAGGTGACAGCTCTGATGATTCTGGCTATCGCATGTGGAGGTATCAATTTAGAGATCGCTCAGTGGAGGCCTCTTTACTAAGTTTATAACATTGATGCCTATCTCTTCCTCTCTCCTCCTTAAAGCTCCATCCAAGTCTACTATCCCAAAGTAAAAAAAAAAAAAAAAATTAAGGAAGCTGTCAGCCCTGCTAGTTGGGAAAACTCCATTTAGAGCTTTCAGAACTAACATAACCAACCCCTTAAATATTCAAAGCATTAGCTCCATTTTAAATAAGAAGCTCTAAATTCAGAGCTCTTAACAGGTACTTAGAGATGTGCATTGGGTGGGCACCAAACAGATACTGACCGCAGCAAACCAAAGTTATAGAAAGAAATAATTGACTATGTACACAATATATTCACATTGATTGTCCTAGGACACTTCTCTGGAGACTTTGGGAAAACAACTTCTTCCTTGAAACTTGCATACCCACTGCAGTTTTCTCACCAAAGATTTGAATCTCTAGAGCCTGACCTCCTCTCTCCCAGACAAAAGTAATGCAACGAGCTCAAGAGATACGCCTTGGTGGTGAAGGAATGACGCTTTGCTTTTCATTCAGTTTATAGTGACATTTACAGGAGATTTGTTAGTGGAGGAGCTACTGAACTGTCTTTAAGACTTAGGGTTTGGTCAGAGGTTGAGAAAACAGGAAAATAATAAACAGCAGTACTTGACACTGTAATCTAGTAAAAATAGAGTCATGACCTGGACACTGATGGAGAAAAAGAAACTTCCGTGGAAGAGAGTGAGCTGAGTCATTTTAGAACCAAACGAGGGTCACTAGTGAGACACGGGGCCACACGGACCCAGAGCACATCAGTGCTCTTCACGGCCAGAGCCAACCTCAGCGGCCAGTGCGGAGTCAGAGAGCTGGCCCATGAATTCAAGTGTTAAAAAGGCCAGTCTGGGTTTCATTGTGGTTGTGAGAGTGGTTAAAATGCCCATGCTCATGACAAGGCAAATGCTGAGGCTGATCTGTTGTGATAGTGCCTTTCTTGTTATAGTGAGTACTATATTACTAATTTGTTCAGTTATGCTTTTCTGGATCATTGCCCCCAGTCTTCTGAGGAGGTCTGAAGGGATAGTGTTCTCGTAGGATGAAGGGATAGGATATTGCTCCTGGAATGCTGTGATTTGATGATATTTGCACTAGATTCTAAACTCTACTTTAAACTGGAGCAACTGAATGAGAGAAAAACCAAGGATGGTTTGAGGTTAGAAGAAACCAAAAACAGTATTTTCTGACTGATGCCATTTCTTTTTCTTCTTCCATTTTTTTCCTGAAAGAAAAACTTTATACTTGTTGATTAACCAAGCTCAACTCTTACCCATTCTTGTCCTTCATATTCTTTTTCCCACACTGAAATATCAGTATGACCAACTGTCGGGTAGGAAAGGCTAATGTAAAGAGCCTCTGTCAGTACAACTTCGCATCTCTCTTCTGCCTCGTCAGGGGCCTGGAATGTGGGGGCAGGGAACCTCCAGAGGCACGTAACCCTCAGGAACGTCAGTGAGCCTGGATATCAGATTGAGAGTTAAGCTGACACATGTTTTCTTAGAGGACACTGGGGCCTGTAGTGAATCCTAAAGGATGCCCAGAACGAGAAAGAAAACAATTATTGAAAACAAAGGGAGGTGAAGATGTTGCCCGAAGTTTGCCTATTGCAACTTTCTCTTCTCTTTCCCACCTCACTGCCATGTCCTATCAGAATTATATTTCATCTCATATATTTTATGTCAACAAAAGAATTATTTGGTTCCTTGGTTTCCCTCTTTATTGGTGGGCTGGGAACTCCTCCGAAATTAAAAACAGATACCATCAGCTGCTCCCCTGTGGCCAAACAGTTTCTCAAATGCTGTCCATCTGGTCTTGACCGGTCAACTAAGATAACTTGGAAGCTTTGGCTGGCTCAACCACCTGTCCACTTTATTTTTGTTTTGTTTCCATTTCTGTTTGAATTTCAAGTGATCCTATGAAAAGGTGGAAATCATGGGTAAGGCTTGAAGGCTGCAGTTTTAGGGTATAGCTTATCAGGAGTTTGTATGATCCAAAATACATCTTTCTACACCTGTTTTCAGTTTAATCCATTGCCCTGATTATAATTTCTATATATTTGTGGTTATTTTTATAAGACTAGAGTCCACTTGCTATGTCTGTTTGAGTACTTTTTTCTATTTTCCCCGTGTGGATGCAGTACCAACCTGTTCATGAAATATCTTATTATTATATTATTAATATGTAATTCTACTGTAGACCAAAAATATAAAAACAAATTTGTTCATTTTAGAGATGTAAAGAACTAGTGAGTGAAAGATTCAGAGTTGAAGGAAAAGACAGAAAAGCAGTGGTTAACTATGTCGAGTTAGAAATCTAAGAGTAGCCTTACCTATTTTTTAACCAGTGCTTGCCAATCATACCATAGTTGAGATTGTATAGTCTTGGCTCCTTCATTCTTGTGCTCTATAATTCTTGTTTGTCTGTTTGTTTTTCTTTTATGTAATTGAGGTTGCACATCATGCTATTTTTGGAAATGCCTGATTTTATTATATTGTACTTTTATCAGTCATTTTCTTTAGAAGGATGGGGGAAAGTTTTATTTCTTCTTTTAATTTAAAATTTGTTGAATGCACTGGAAATAAAATTGGACACATTTCACTGTTTAAAAAATCAGAAACAAAACAAAACAAAAACCACAAAGAAAAAACCAGCAACCCAATAAGCGACAGGGAAAAAAGGTATGAAAAAAATCAACTTGTACCAAATACACATACAACATATATCCCACACAAAAGAGAAATACCATCAAATAAGAAAAATATTTAAGCTACAATGCCGAAAACAGAAAAGAAACCTGGCTTCAACAGGGAAGATTCCTCTCAAAGAGCATGCCTTTGAGATCTGAGAGCCTGTCATTGTCCCAGTTAATGATGCCCAATCCCAGTAAATGTGGGACAGGCGACTGTGGAGGAAGTCACTTTGACCTTCCTCATCCACCGGAGCTCTCCATCACCTTGTATCCCATGCTTGAGCTCCATTTTGAGAGACAAAAAAAAAAAGATGTGCTGTGGTTGAGAAAGTGGCTTGTATAGAGGTATGCATGCTGCACACATGGACAGAGCTTAGGGCTCTGCCCAGGTACTGCCTCACGGGATTCTTTTCTCCGTGGCGATTTGCAGCGGATAGGCCTGCAGCGTGGGAGGCTGTCAATGACGTGTACATCATCAGCTGTTGCTAAACAGCCTCTTGACTCCAACCTGATCTGGCCTCTTCAGCAGCCCCAGATACCAGCAGAGCCAGTGCACCCATACACAGGCACAGGAAATGCAAAGGCAGAGATAGTTTTCCTAGCCAACTGGCTGTGTCATTTGCTCAGTGTTTGCTGGGGTTTTCTGGTTTTGTTTTGTTTTAGAGTAGGGGTGGGAGTGGATGTAACTTTACAATCTTAATACAGTAATTGTTTTGCATCTTCCATGTTTTATGCAAAAACAGACATTTAAATCAATAAATAATTGTGCCCTAGACTGAAAGTTAATGTTTAGGAGAGGAAAAAAATTGTTGGAATTTTTTCTACATTTTTTTGTGAAGAATCTTTTTTGGAAAGGAAGGATACATATTTTTGTTGTGTAATATTTTCTATTTTTGAATGCATTTTATTGGTACAAGACTGTTTTTTTGGTGAAGACATTATTTAAAAAAGAAAAAAAAGAAAAAAACTAATTGAAAAGTTTGCCCTTAAGGATATGCTGCAGTTTTGAGGTTAAAAAAAAATAACTGATTCAAGATGCGTGTTTAAAGTTGGGATTATATTGTTGTTTTTTGTAATTGTTACAAGAAGAAGTTTGTACCCACTGCTGTTTATTTTGTTTCAGATGAGTAAGTAAAGGGATTGTTCTTGTTTTATTCTTTTTTTAGAGAAAAAAATGCTATTTATGAAATGTCAAAAACACTGGACTGTGAGTTTAAGTGTGGAAGCATTTTACCACCCTGTGTCTTCAACCGATTATGGGAACCCCTTTTCTCTTCCTCCCACCTTAGCCTTGCCAAATGAGAAAAAAATATAACAGCAGTCAGATGATTGAAGCCACTGAAGCCCTGCTTTAATTGTTATGGTTTGAGGAAGTCAGAAAACCAAAGTTAAATTTGTTTCAGAAATCCCACTGTCTGTAGCCCTTTTTGTATGACACAGCCCGTTGCTCTGCCTCACCGTCTTGGACCAGTGCCTTCCAAAGGACTGGGGCCAACTCCGGTTCAGAGAGAGGCTAAAAGGTGGTGAGCCTGGAAGTTGAGGCCTTACGAAGCAAATGTGAATGAGACTTCAACCTCTCAGTGGGCAACCACGCTTTACCATCCTGTGGTGAGGCTGCCCAGAGCACGCTGCTTACGGGGCGCCTGAGGAGAGAGCTTCTCCTAGCTACTAAGAGTCTCCTGTTAACTAACCATCGCTCTCCGGAAGGGCTTTGCCTTTGTCGGCAGCCCACAAGCCAAGGCTGGGATAGGGGCAGAGGGATTCAGCTGAAAGAAATGGCTGTTCGAGCTGTGAAGGCACGCCCTGCCCGGAGGAAGGTAGGGCAAGGGGCGCCTGCCTCCTCTCTGATTCTGTAGATTGTCCATCTGCTCACTGTGAAGACGGACAGGCAGAGTGCCCTCAGGCTGTTCAATAGCTTTTCCATATGTTTTCAACATTTAAAAAATAATCTTTAAAAACTGTGATTTTAAAAAAATCATTTGGCTGGAGGGAAGGGAAAAGGGAAACACCAAAAGCTGTAACATGATTAACTGGAGATATTTAACTGGGGGCACTTTCTAGACCAAGACAAATGAATTCCATTCTGGACCCCAAAGCAGCCAAATCTCGAGACTGTCAATGACAGAAAGCTGAAGAGAGGCCTCCATTTCCTCCTTTCTTCCTTCTTCTCTCTGTCTCAAAATTCTCTTGTTCTCCTTTCCCAGCCTCCTTTGGACTGCTGCCCCAGTGGCCCTTGGACTCCCATTTCGTGTGTGCACACATGTGCACACACCCCCACACACACCAACTTGCAAAACACCATTTTTCTGGGACCGAATAAAATCATGTGCCTTCATTTTTTCCTTTTATAGTTAGGTGAACCTTTTCATTTTTACAGTGTATTAAAAAATAGGGGAGGTTGAAGTGTTGGAGGACTTGAGCATCATTTGAGAAGTAATTTTTGTCTAGCACATTCCCCCTAAACATTGAACACAAACATTTCAACCCCTTCATGACTTTCTGAACATTTAGAATATCACGTAACTAGATACATAACAGCCTAAACCCATTTGATCTTAGAGCAATTCCTGAAAATTCTATTTCATACACTTCTTTGATCTTTTTCAAAAATGAGGTGAACAATGGCAAGCAGCCTTGTTCCCCCGATCTGGTGCTTTTGCGTGTGGCGTGGGGTGGGGTGGGGGTGCATTCCTACAGGTCTCCGGTGCTGAAGGGCCTCAAGTTCCTTTCAGAGACAGCATTGGACACACTTTAGGTACACACAGATGACTGGTATCACATGCAATACTTTAATGGAGCAATGGGAGCGGCTCTTTGAAATGGGGTTTTGCGTCTTTTTGTAACATTTTGATTTCTCTGGTGCCTTATTCCTAATCAGTGCTGGCACTCACATACCCACAGGGAACTGACAGGAAGTCAGCCTCGAGAGAGGGGACGCATGGGCGATGCTTGAACGTGCGGGCACATGGGCAGCTTGGTGTCAGTTGGTGGGGAGGAGATAAGATGGTGTCCCTTAGCTGAAGCCAAGCAGGAACTGCACAAATCCATACAAAGTTGACAATTCCAACCTGTAAACGCACCGCAAACTCATCCTTCCTCATCTGAGCTTTCCTTCCTTCTTCCTCTTCTATCTCCGCCTTCTCCTAAAGGTGCTGCTGCTGCTGCTGCTGCTGCTAAGGTGCCGGAGTCCAGAATGCCCAGTAATCACTCAGGCACGAGCCTGGCACTGCCACGTCAGCCCCTGGCACGACCAAACCCAGGTTTCTCTTGTTTGGGGCTGAGAACCGTCAGATTTTTCTCATCAAAAGTGTTTTCCAAGGAATCAGTGGATTACAGCTATTCTGCATTGAAAATGCACTTTAAAAAATGAATAGAAGCTCCATACTGTTTAAAATGGGCAGAGGGAGCAGGGGAAAGATAAACGCGTGCTAGTGTCTGAACCCAGTTCAGTTTATCTCCAGTTGAAACAATATACACTATAATATGTATAAATGTATACACACCTCTTATACATATCCATATATATAGTGTATATATTATACATGTATAGGTGTGTATATGTGCATCTATACACATGTGCACACAACAAGATCAGATGCTCATTACAAATCCAGATGCTCATACAAACCCAGATGCTACACAAACAGCAGCAGAGGAAACAAGGTTGGACTCTTGCAACAGATCACAAAAAATAAAAACAGCTACTTGCAGTGACTTCGGTCATTTCTTTGTGTTCACAAGGAATGGATTGTAACAGATTAAAAAAGGAACAGTGTTAGTGAAAGAGGAAAAGTGGGCGAAACCATCTTGATCCAATGGGAATGCAGTAATGTTCTATACCATTTCGTGTTACTTCCTTTAGTCATGTTGATTTGATTTCAGTTTTTGGCTATTAAATAAATTTTTAAACTCAAGTGACCCACAACAAACTGAATAAAACAACTACAGTGAAAGCCCTTTTCAAGGAAGATGTCAGTAATCTCAAAACCCTTGGCCTGGCTCAGAACTACCATGTGCAAATCAGTACTCTTAATGTTTGAAATAAAAACTGAAAAAAAAAAAACTTTTTTGAAGCACCTTAATGTGGCCATCCATTCGAGGAGTGGGTGCCACTTTTTTCTTTGAGCACCTTATTGACATGTTTTGCTATCTGCTGTCTTTCTGTTACCTGTTGGCTGAATGGCTAGCTGTTAACACACACGTGCGCTCAGACCAGGCGTCTGGGCACGTGTGGTCTCGATGAAGTTTACTGTGGTGACTGCTGGAAGGTGAACCTGTTTCCTGATTTTCCTGCCACAGTGTTGTGATAAGATTCGAAGAAACCCTATTTCCTGCACAGAAATGTTTCTTATCACAGTGTATCTTCATATGGAAAGGAATGTGGTCCCTTTTTTGCAATTGCTACTGTACACACACACACACACACACACACACAAAAAAAAAATGTATCCATTCATCCAAGTGGTATTTTCAAAGTCTGTGTGGGTGTCGCTGTTTATGCAGTTTCTATTTCCCAGTGAATTTTGAAGGGAGGGCAACTTTTGTAACCAGATCTTTTGTTCAGACAGAAGACCCGGGAATTGGGGAGGAGTTTGGAAAGAGGGGGAGGCAAGGAAAAAGAGAGCTTTGAATCAAAAAAGTAATTTCCCAAGAGGAACTTGGGCTCAATGACTTCAGAGACTATAGCCTCCGACCCTTGCAGGTGGGCATGGAACACTGCTCCCACCAGTCCGTGTGCCGTAGAACCCCTGTAAACACAAGCACACACCCACCCATCAGCATACACGTGGTTTGGGATGAGCAGGTCAATAGTTTTGAGAGGGAGTTTGTTCCTTTTTTTTTCCTCATTATACTCTTAAATTGTTGTCAGTTATCAAACAAAAAGTTGTTTTGAAAAACCTTGCATACGCCTTTTCTATCAAGTGCTTTAAAATATAGACTAAATACACACATCCTGCCAGTTTTTTCTTACAGTGACAGTATCCTTACCTGCCATTTAATATTAGCCTCGTATTTTTCTCACGTATATTTACCTGTGACTTGTATTTGTTATTTAAACAGGAAAAAAACATTCAAAAAAAGAAAAATTAACTGTAGCGCTTCATTATACTATTATATTATTATTATTGTGACATTTTGGAATACTGTGAAGTTTTATCTCTTGCATATACTTTATACAGAAGTATTACGCCTTAAAAATACGAAAATAAATTTTACAAGGTTTCTGTTTTGTGTGGAAGAGTAATTGATGTTGCTAAGAATGATGTTTGTTTTTTGGGGTTTTTGTTGTTTTTTTTAAATGTTACCAGCACTTTTTTTGTAAGTTTCACTTTCCGAGGTATTGTACAAGTTCACACTGTTTGTGAAGTTTGAATATGAAGGAATAATTAAAAAAAAAACTCTTCTCTTGGTTTCTTACTGTGTCTTTTTTATACCATGACAGTTTTTCCACATTCTTTTATACTGGGTCCATCACAAATAACACCTCTTTTTCATTACAAAATCATAAGCATGTAATTCAGTAACATAACAACATCACACTCAAGCACACCATATGACATTTTTGGTGAAATGTTCAAATTAAAACTATGAATTACTACACCCGTATTACTATCCTACCAACCACACTCAACGCAGGCCTCCCTTCTGCTGGACCCTGTACATTGTAATCTGAGTCTAGTCTAAGATTATCCAAAATGAGAACTGTCCCTGAAAGGCCAGAAAAAATTCTCAGCATATCAGTTCTCTTAGTACAAGAGAATTTCAAGATTGGTAATATCGAGGTCAGCAGGGAAATATAAGGCAAATTTGTATTTTTCTTCCCCTGTCCAAACCTCACAAATGATCCCATGGCTCATTTACTGCTATCTGAATCATTCAACTGTTTTTCCTTCCTCACATTCAAATCAGTATCTATCTGCCTCTTGTGGAAATAACCAATCCTGTGTAACACTATGTCCATCTATCCTGTATCCTTTTATCTAAGGAAGGTTCATGGCTCGAAATATGTCCCCATTTGATGACTTTGGAGACCCCTAAGAGACTATCATTTGCTACAAAGACCCTTTCTCATATGCCACTCTACCCACAGGGCTCTCTGACGTCCTCATTCTTGCAGAAATTGGTGGTGCAACGGAGAAGCCAACCCAACTGAATTAGATTCGCTGAGCCTTCAGTAAAAGCATTTACGTTCCACTCACACTGCAGTGTGTGAAGGAAAGAGAGTACATTCTTTCAGCCCTGGTAAACCTTAAAACCTAAAAACTAAATGATCCACATAAAATCAAAAGCTACGTTATACCATTCAAACTCTCAGTATCTTGGGAGTTTATCAACTGGCGAAGATGCATGAGCAGAGTAAGTCAGGGAAGGATCCAAGAAAAGCAGTCTCATTTGGGGGCTGCCGAGGACATGCAGGCCTTGGGTTGGGGAGCGTTCATGAGAATTCTGGACTGAAAGGTGACCTCTGTGAATCTAAACATTGACTTCTCTGAGCTCAACCACTGAACCCTTAAGTTCACCTGATATTCAATGAAATAGAAAATAAAGAAAAACATTTTCATGAAGCATAATTTGTCCCTATTGGGTTTCTGTGAACCTCAGCAGCATCTTGATGATGCCAGCCAGCTTCACCCAGAGTCTGTGGTCTCTCTGCACAATCCCCAAACTCTTGAGGCTTCTTTCTGCCTGTTGAAATGTTGCGGTGTGGTTTACATAAAGGCTCTAGCAATTGGAAAGGGCACATAGGTTATTCATATGGTACTTAATAGTTTCTAAGTTTCTCTGTCATTTGCTTTATCCACCCTCACAAATACCCTGTGAAACATTGTGAAGTCGTCACTATTACACCAGTTTATAGAAAGAGAGGTTCAGAAATGTTTTTCCCATTATAAAACAATAAGCTATTGCTTGAAGTCAAGGTTTCGGAAACCAAAGCGATATGTATATCACACCAGTGTTTCTCAAACTTGAGTAATGTATATACCCCTACAAAAGAAAAGCAATACTTCTCACAGACTGCAAAACCTGCACATAGGAGGAACCTGTGATTGTTTTTATTGTTTAGAAATATATTAGTAATTAATATAGAGTATAATTACTTCATTATAATCTTTGCTTTTTATCTCATTTTATTGTTATTCTAGGACACTTGTCCCAGTTTTTCCCCCTTTGCCCTCCTCTGCACATTCGGACCCCACCCCCAGTCAGCCCCTCCCCCTTGTCCATGTCCATGGGTCATTCATGCACGTTCTTTCACCCCTCCCCTTCGTGTTATTTTAACCTATTAATTTCATAGTTTTATTATGTTTTACTTGTATTTTAAATTTATTTAACATTTCTTTTTATTTTGATCTTAGTTTTACAATTCTGTAAGAGCTATAAGGTTTACCAGGTTGTATGTTTGAGCATATTTAAGAAAGATTATAAAATATAATCTTTATAAACTTTGTAAAAATACTATTTCATTAAATTTTTCAAATATTGTATTAGAATATAATCTGTATGAAAATATTAGAATCTTAAAAATTATGTTTTATAATCTTTCTTAAATATGCTCATACGACCTGGTAAACCTTATAGCTCCTCCAGAATTGTAAGAGCTGCTGCGTGGGCAACTGCGCCCCCGGGGCAGCATCTGCGCACAGCAGGCCTCGCGCAGCGAGGGCGCCCCTCCCGCCACCCCCAGTCCCCGGACTCCGCCGCTCCGCCCCCTCGGAGCATATGAATTGTTTATGAATGGAGCCTCCATACCTTGAATCAACTTAATTATAAACACAAATACGAAGACTGAAGATATTGACAGCATTCTGTCATAGGAAGGTCATCGAAACCCAAGACACGTTCGACTTTTTCAAAGATTATCGTCTCACAACACAAAATTTTAAAATGCTTACAGATAACTTGCAAACCCCAAAGACATATCTACAATTCTTAGCAATCCTTAAGTCCTAGTGATTAAGGGTTTGATAATTCCAGATACCTTAGTTGATCCCAACAAGATTCGCTGTCCCCTCGGGGCCCTCTGCGGCACCGTTAGCGGTGCCGGGCGCGCGTGTTTGTGGCACGAAACACAACAGGAACGTGAACTCGGCATTTTACAGCTTACAAAGAGTCAACCACATTACCTTACTGTGTCTTCCCATGAACCCTACAGAATAGATGTTATTACTGCCATCGTGTAAATGAAACGTTTGCAATGAGGGTGGGCAAGTTAAGGAGCTCATTCCAATGCCATGAAGCGGCATGGCAGTGCTCAACACTCGGACCGAGGACCTTGACGCCGGGCCACCACACGCTGGAGCCACTTCTCTATTGACCTCTATGAAACCAGTCAGACTTCCCGCCGCAGAGAAGGTATTCCTCACCACCTGCATGACGTCAGAACGACAGTTACGCTGCAAGTCTATTCCTGCATAACACCTATGAGTTGCAAACTTCTTCACTGCCCCGATCCTGTGTTCAATAACTGGACCACTTAGCTACCTCAGATAACTTTTAGAAAGAGTCTGAGATAAATTCACATCCTGCTTTTGACCTCATGTTTTGTCTTAATCAAAGCAAGGCTACAGGACACTGGGAGAGAATCTCTACGTTTCCTCCTGGTCACAGTTCTTTCAAATGGATAACGTGTAGAGCGAGCCAATGGCCTATAAATACACTTCTCCATGTTTTCTCCTATGCAAGGCAATTACTAGGACTGCAATGCCTAATATACTAGCTACCAGTCACATGTTACCACTTGCATTTGAATTAATTTAAATAAAATTTAAAATGCAGTTTCTTAATCACAGTAGCCTCCTTTCAAGTCTGCAATAGCTATGTATGGCTCATGGCTGCCATGTTGCATCTTCATCACAGAAAGTTCTGTGGGACTGTCCTGGCCTAGACTGCATCCTATGCAAATTCACCCACTGAAACATCAAAGTACATAGTCTCATCCTCTACAAGATCAGGCTCTCACACACATAAGGCTCCCCTGGGCCTCCTGACAGGTATGATGTGGGGTGGAGGTGCAGGATTACTTCACTAGTTACAGTGTTGAAGCAGGACTGGAAAGAACCAGAAGACTGAACAAAACTCGCACCGCACAGCTGACAGCACAGCCATGCTGCTGACTCCCTCCTCTTTGTTGGTGCAGTTGGCCACCAGGACACTGCCCTTCCCGTGCAGCACACAGCCAGCCCGCTCGTCCAGCTCACTACCGGTGGAGTCTGTGGGACCCTGGCTGTGCGGTGACACACGGACTCCAGGGGCTCGTGGGGTGAGAAGGGCAACTCAGGAAATGAAACTGCATGCAAAGTCCTGTCCACTCGGGAAGATCATCTCCCTCCAAGCTCCCTGACTCGATTTTCTCACATTTGTTCATTATAATTCTTTGGATGATAGATCAGACTCTATGTGCCCAGGCTTCGAATGCGGGGTGATAAGGAGTCGGGCATCAGTAGACTAATTTCTCCATGAACCCTCCTCCCCTTTTGTTCTCCTCTCCTGTGAAGGAATTCAAGAGGGGATCCAAGACAGCCTAGGGTCTCTTCCTGCTTGCACTTAGTGGTCCCCTGCCTCAGACTCCCCTGTGATTCTTCCCTATGAATTTCTAGAAAGACATAATAAAAGGAAAAAGTGTAATGAAACCCCACTTGAATGAGAGAGTGACAGAGACTACCAGTCAAAGAGAAACACTGCCCTGGACGCCCTCGTAGCTCTGGTTTAGAGCCTGGAGCTCCGTGGTCCAGTGGAAATGCAATGGGAGCCACAGATGCAATTTTAGAGTTTCCAGCAGTCACATTAGGAGAATAAAAGTAAATAGGGGAAATTCATCTTAATAATATATTTTATTTAACCCAGCATATCCAAAACATTTTCATTTTGACATGTGACCAACATTTTAAGTTACTAATGTGATACTTTACATTCTTATTATTCATAGTAAGTCTTCAAAATCTGGTGTGTATTACCCTTCAAGCAGCGCACAGCTCCATTCAGACCAGCCTCATCTCATGTGTTTGTAGCTGCCGGTGGAGAGCAGTGGCTGGACCGGACCGTGCATGACCCCCTGAACCGAGCTTCTGCCGCTTTGTCTCCTCTGGCTCTCCAAGGAAAATTTGTTTATTGAATTCCTCTATACAATGTATTTTCTGTTGAATTCAATCTCATTTTAGTTACCTGACCAACTTACAGCATCCATGGGTCCTTTTGTATTTTTATCAACTTCAAATGGTATTTGTAAATGTTTCCCAGTTACAATAATGTCAAATAACACCCAACTCTCAGTCTACCTCGGCCTAAAACACATCTCCATCAAATCAAAACACCACTCTTTTTTCATCATTACACCTTAGTCCATTTCCTGCCTGTGAATTGTGTTCTACTCCCAACCAATTTGCACTAGTTTTGCCAGAAAAAATGCTGTGTACTGCCGTGGCAAATAGCAGCGTTTTCCACATATCTTTCTTCCAAAAACCTTGCACTCTGGACAGATTTCAGCTCATTGCTCCTAACTACAGATCTGTTTGGTTGATAAGTGAGAAATATAAAAATAAAAATTCAAGGAGGAGTAGGAATTGAATTGTCTTCTTGCTCAACCAGCCTAATTTCCAGGGAGCAGGGCAATGCTTTATTTTAACAGTTGGCAAGAGGCAGCTTGCTTCCCATTCTCTCTCGGTTCCCTTGCCCGCAGAAGAAAATCGCTCACCTGTAAGCCAGCCTCCCTCCGCCTTTCTCAAGAGAGGCAGCTGGAGGGTAAAGCCTCATGCCACTTAAACAGAGATGAACAGCTCCGATGTCACCCTGGCCCCAGCACAAAGGTGTTTTAAGGGCTGAATTGAAGGGTTCAGAGAAGATAGTTTGGGAGCATACATTTTTTAAAACTCTCTACCACCTTCCTTTTATTTTTTTTTCCCTAGGAATAGTCCTTATTTAAAAAATCCAGGTTTTCCTTTTAGTGGAAAGCAGATTATTTCTTCAAACCTTAATGGTGGGTGGGTAGAGCAGAGGTGGGTCACTTCCCAAGAGCTAAGATGCCGCCCACGGTGAGTGGGCACCGTAGCCAGAGCTTCCCAGCACATGGTGGGAAGAGCCCAGAGTCCTCTTCATCAGTCATCGCTACACTCTGAGCAATCACCTGCCCAGATAAAATCTGAAGTGTCATTGGTTCCCTTGGTACCAGGGTCTTCCTTGTGGGACTTTCAGCTCCTTGGACAAAACAAGTTCTTTGGACAAAAGTCCTGCCCTCACCAGACCAGCCTCACTGTTCCCTGCATCCGCCTAGACTGCTTCATCACAGACGAGCCCATCCTGGCCGCCCCGCTCCAGAGGAGACGGGCACGTCTTCCCCAAGGCCCGTGTCTCCTGTCCTTGTCTCCTGGCCACCCTCCCAGTGCCTGTGATCTCCCCCCTTGCCTGTAAGTTCTTAAAGGGTTAAGACTCATGACCACGGTTTAGTCATCCTGGAACCTCCCCGCAGAAGCTGGTCCCACCCCTTAATCATGAAATGCCTTGAATGTGTGACAATGACACCATAACCTGACCCCTTGCTCAGTGACATGAGGAGGTGGAATGAACCGCTCAGAGCCACAGTACGGGCTCAAACCTCCAGATTCAAAACCAGGTCAAAAATTTTTTAACATGGCATTCATAATCAAGTCAAGCTGCTCACCCTGGTCTGCCACGATAGAGTGGAAGGGAAGGGTAGAGGAAATGCAGACAAAGGAGAAGGCAACATTCATTCACTCAGCTGAACACACACACACACACACACACACACACACACACACAGCAGTGAGGAGAGCATGGACCCTAAACGTCCAGTTGTAATAGAGCAGCGGCTGGGTCTCTAGGAGCTAACCAGTCTCCGCTGGGAAGCTGATGTCCCCAAGGCTTCTGTAACTCAGGACGTTGAAGTAGTCGTGTGGCTCAGCATAGTCCTCTCCACTAGGCTCTCTGCAGAGGCCGGCAGGTGCGGCGCCTGCCTGCACACAGCTGCCAGGGGATGACAGGACGCTGGGACCCCATCCTTCCTGTTCAGGTGGCACTCTCCGGAGGCCGCTTCCCGCAGAACGAATTCGAAGAAATTTCCTCTAAAACAAACAAAGTACAAAGTGAGTATGTAGGGATGGTATTCAAAAATTACTCCTCAACATGATACATGATTACAATGATCTGTTTTTTCCTTTCTTACACACACACACACACACACACACACACACACACACGCAAAGCTGTGTTCTCACCAACACCAACTTCTCAACCCTTAATGTTTCACCTTTGTCACCGCTGGGCTGCAGCACTAACCACTCTGCTGGAACACTTGCTGCACACGCAGTGTGCCCGCACGCAGTGTGCCCACACACATTCCTTCCTGTTCACTAAGCCTCAGGGAGCACCTGCACCCGACTTCTCTCTTCCTCTCCACCACCCCAGCCCCGAGGACCTCTTCCTCTGTGAGTGGTCTCCTTCCCAGCTTCCTCGGCACTGCTCCCTCCTGCTCTCCTCCTCCTCCTGGGAACCCCACCTCCATCTTCGCTGGCCTTGCTCTTTGTTCTGCTTGCACATCAGCTCCTCAAATAAAGGGTTTTCCCAGGGTTCAGCCCTCTGCTTTCTCACATTCAACACTCTCTCTGAGTCACTGCATCTAAATGAACATCAATAACCACCCTCTTCCCTCTGGTGATTCCCAAATCTCTACCTGAACCAGCCCTGGCTTCTGCCCTAAGATCCAGACCCAGGCGCCCCCACCTGTTCACTGGGAAAGTCTCCTGGCGACACCCCGCAGCAAGCTCAGGCTCAGCCTGCCTCCGAGGCACCCAACACCCCACATGTACTGCTCCTGCCCCACAGCCTCTAACATTCCTTACGGCACCGTCTACCTGGCCAAAGCCTGGGGGCTAATGTTAAACTCCAGGTGGAGGTAAAATCCCCTCCTGTTTTACTCCTAAGAAAATCTGAAACCTACTCCCTTTCCTATCCCTACTTTCACCAGACTTTCGTACTCACCTGCCTCTATAGCCCCTGGTAGCTCTCTCTAACTTCCACATGGCCACCAGCAGGTGGTCCTTCAAAGATGGGAGCCGGACTGTGCCATGCTCCTGCCCAAAACCCTTGGCTGTCTCTCATTGTGTACAGTGGCCACAAGAGGACTTCAAGGGATCTATAAAACCACTTAAGTTGTGAAAAGAAAGAAGGAAGGAAGGAAGGGAGGGAGGGAGGGAGGGAGGAGGGAGGGAGGGAGGGAGGGAGGGAGGGAGGACCATTGCAAGAGGTGCATTCTGCTGGGAAGGAAGTCCACCACTCAGGAGGCTGTGTGTGATGCCCCCCAAATGCCTGTGACTTGGTCACACTCACCTTCCCAGCTTCATGTCCTGCAGCCCTTCCCTAGCCAACACCGCAACTTCCAGTGTGGGGCCTGATGCCAGAGAGCTACCGTTTCCTGAGAAGCCGCTGTGAGCCTGCACTGGGTTATCTTCTCCTGTAATCTCGCCAACACCCCTACGGAAGTTCTGAGCTAGCTCCTAGGCCCAGACCAGTGCAGTCATCTGCCCAAGGACCAATCCGATTCTTACTTATGTCCATGTGACTCCAGCTATGCTTTCTCCTCAACCAAGCTACCTCTCACCCTGTGGCTTCTAGAAAGCCAGGCACTGTTTCCTGACACCCCAGGTTTGTATATGTTGCATCCATTGTCTGTTATCTGTGGTTCCCTGAAAAAGTTGTCAGCTCCATCCTCTAGACTCGGCTCCACAGCACACTGTCCACGAAGCCTTCTCTGGCCCTGGCTGGGTGGTTCCATTGGTTGAAATGGCAACTCATACAGCAAACTGTTGTGGGTTCTAATTCCTGTCAGACAACCAATTGATGTTTGTCTCTCACATCAATGTTTCTCTCTCTCCCTCTCTCCTTCTTTCTCCCTCTCAAATCGATAAAAAACATGTCCTCAGGTGAGGATTAAAAAAGAAATGAAACCCTTCTGACTTTCCAGGAGGGCTACATTCCCCACCCTGGGCTAGCGTATATATGGTCCTGAATGTTTGCTGTGTAACACCGAATGCTGCCTCCTGACACTTTCTGTTTGCCCTCCGTTGCCTCCAACTGCAGCCCCCTGCGGGCGGGGGCTGGGCTGTGTTCCTCTGTGTGACCCCAGGGCCCATAACTGGTGCTTGAGATGTCTTAGGACACAGACACACACATGCACACACACACACATTCTTCGACAGCCCTGTACCTAAAAGAACTGGACTTTCCAAATCAAAGTAGGGGCTCATGGTCAAACACCTGAGGCTGCACCTGGCGGGCAACAGGCCACAACAGTGAAACCTATTGGGGAAAAGCAAGGACGCGAAGCCAGCCCTTTGAGAGCAGCACAGGTGAGGGCTGCGCTAAGGCGAGGAAGCCAAACACAGCAGGCCCCCACAGAACAGCACCCGAAATGCTTAATGACACCCGTACAAAGATGACACCCTCTCAGTTCTCCTGGGAACCACCCCAGAGCAAGTCACTCACCCGCAGCAAAGACCTGAAGGACAGAATCACGAAGAGCCACACACAGCGTTGGAAAACAACAACGAACAAGCCACATTTCATTCTGCCCCACGCCCCTTGCCCCCACCCCCTCCTTCCAGGGTAGGGCATACCAGCACCACCTCTGGTGGCACCCCTGGCATCAAGCTCAGTGGCACACAAATGTGTGCGGGGTGCTGAGTGGGAGGGTGGACAGGGCTGCAGGGACGTTCGCAGCAAACAGACAAGAAAAATCTGAGTGGCACCAGCTGCAGGCCCGAGGAGCTGGGCTGGGGAGAAGCCATAGTCTCAGAAGCACACACAAGAGTCAGGCAGTCTCTCCCCTCCTACTGTTTCATTCATTCCTTTTCAGTAGGAGGGGCTGCACCTTATCGTCAACTAGTGTGAGAAAAAGGGTGGTTATCAAAGCTCTTGCTGGTGCTGTGCTTAAAAGGCTGCTACGCCCACGAGACAGCCCATCCATCGTTAGGGCGCGCGCAACCTGTTCTCAGAGAGCTGCCTGCCCCTCACGCTGTGCATTCTCGTCCGGTTCTTAGACCAGCCACACTGGCCTCTGAATCTGGGGACTCCTTTGGCTTCCAAAAATCCCCTGAGAACCGGAAATGTGCCCGAGGTGGGTCTCTCAGCTGCTCTGCTTCCTTCCATCTTGCACGGGGGACTCTGTAATTGGAGTCAGTGTAAAAAAAAAGTCTGAAATTAACTCACTGATGTCCTAAAGCAGGGGTGTCAAACTCACTTTCACCTGGGCCACATCAGCCTCATGGTTGCCTCCGAAGGGCCAAACATAACTTTAGGACTGTATACATGTAACTATTCCTTAACAGTTAAGTGAGAGCTCGGTGCTGCCGCCAGGTAGAAACAAGGTGCTGGCCGGATAAAACAAGGTGGAGGGCCGGATTCGGCCCATGGGCCTTGTGTGTGCCACCTGTGTCCAAAAGGATCAGAGGCAGCTGCTGAGATTGCAGCTGGGTCTGGCAGGGATAGCACTGCCCCCGGGGGACGGTGAGGAGACAGGACAACGCACTGGGCAGCCCTGGTCCAGCAGCAGGACACACCCTCCTCCCTGAACCTCACGGAGGATGCCCTGGGGGCATGTCTGCCAAAGCTGCTGGCAAAGAATATTCCTTCTTTTAGTCTAGTAGACCCATGCACTGTAAATATTTATTGAGCACCGAGTGTTATGCGGTAACATAGTAAATAAAATTTATAATAATTATAAAACCATATATTTACAGGAGTGATGGTTATTAATACATGCCAGGAAAAATGCCAAGTGGCTTACTTGAATTATTTGACTTAAGTTTCCCACAACCCCACGAGAACAGCACCACAATTATTTCCGAGTCACTGATGCTGAAGCTGAGGGTTGGCAAGGCCAGTGACACAGCCAGAGTCCTGGTCCACCCAAGGTCTGTCTGACTCCCAAGGCCACGGTCCCAAATACCGCAGGCTGCTGGTTCTCGGGGACTGTCGGGGACGCTGTTAGAGCCCAGCTCAGACCCCGCCTGCCTGACCAGAGCCCCATCCCCCAGACCTGGCAGTGCAGACTGAGGGCCTCCCTGGTGAGCAGCCAGCAGGCAGTGATTGACTGAGGTGGGGTTTTACAAGGCCGGCTCCCTGCCTCAAGGTGCAACCAACTCTGCACACAATTCTTGCTTCAACCAAGTCTCCAGCTGAGCCCACTTCTTGCAGAGCTTTCTCCCCTTGGCCCCATGCTGCTTCCTTCAATGCCCTTCACCTGAGCACTCACTCGCCCTACTGTCACCAGAATCCAGACATCAGGCTCTCTTTCCTGCACCTGATCTAAAACAGCTGCCCCTGGGAATGGCCTCGATGGACTGTGGAAGGAGACTCCCCTGGGCGGGCGGGGTGGAAGTCCAGACCCCACCCCCGGTGCTGAGTGTGGTGGGGCACAGACGGGAGGCCACTTGAGCGGTGCCAGGGCTCCGGCTCTGACATTGGAGAAAGAAATGTGGGGGAAGCAGTGGTTATTAGGACCTGGGAATTAGGTGGCTTTTGCTAGACTCTCCTGGTGTACTGTGCAGGAAAAGAAAAATCTGTCAGCAACCGAGAGCAAAGTGTGAGAGTCAAAGGCCCTCTTCAGTAGCATTTACAGAAGCGCCCTCTCCGGCTCGGAACCTGACCCCCAGAGGCGGAACTTCCAAGGGAGGCTGGACTTGAGCCTGAGTGAGTCTCCTCTACCAGGGCCTTGGTGGGAAATCAGGGGTCTCACATGCTTTTTTATTTCTCATCCTGCAGAGTCTCTGGGTAGCCCAGCACTGCTGAAGGATTGTTAAAATTCAATGAGTTAATGTACAGAAACGCCTAGCACAGACTACAGTCCCAGGATGCATCGAAGTCGGGGTAGATCCATCAGTCTCCCAGGGGACTGGCATGAGGGACAGGCAGGTGACAGGTCCAACCTTCCAGGAGCTCCCAGATAAGGTAAGGGACAGAAGAAGAATATGAACAACTTCACAAAAAGGCAAAACAAGGACCCTGGAAAAGGCACAAACAGCAATGGGGAGATCGCCTCTAAGTCTCTCTCTGGACAGGGCGAGGGTGGCAGGGTGGGGTGCCATGACTGGGATGTGCAGCCAAAATCATTACCTTTCTGGTCAACGCGACCACCACCGTGACCGCTGTGCAGGTGACCACCAGCAATAGGACTCCAAGCAATAGGATCTGGAAGCCAGCGCCTTGCTCAGCCCCTGGTGGGAGGACAGAACAAAGAAAATGGGCCGACCACTCCCCAGCATCGGGGGCCCAGAGGTGGGGACTGGCCCTGCCTTCCTCCAGCCACAGGACTGGACATCGGCCCAGCTCTTCGGACGGCAGAGCACCGGCAGGGCCGGCAGGGGCGGCCGACACCCAGCGGCCATCTGCCTCACATGCCGGACACCAGCGCAGACCGGGTCTAGCACTCCCTCCCTCGATTCCACAAAACCACTCTTAGTGACTATCATGAAATGAAACAAATGATAACATCCAGAAAAAAAATGGAAAAGGAATATTTTTATTAAACTTCATATGTATAACCAAGCTAGTAGAAAAATAACTTAGAAATTAAAATAAAATTAATACTAATGTACAAAAAGGAAAAAAAGCACATAGCCTTGCACCTCAAGCCTCTAGCGCTTGTCCAACCCAGCCGTGAGACCCAGCGGAGTACAGACGGCCCTTTTGCTGCTCCTCTTTCATTCATATCGCACATGGAGCCTTGTAAATGTCTGTGGTATGAATTGAGGTGTGAACAAGTGAATGTCCAGTGACATAAAATGTCACTGGAAGGAGGAAGAGGCAGGAGAGAGTTTTGAGGAGAGGAGTGATTTTTGGCCCAACGGGTGTGAGAGACACAGGACAGTCACCCGCCAAGCGCCAAGCGTGTGCCGTGCTGTAGGCGGGAGGGTTTCCGGCGCTCCACCGCATCTCCCCTCCTTCCCAGCTTGGACAGAACTCGATGTCCAGGGAGCAACAAGAAGGGTGTCGCAGAGGCTGGGGCCTCTTCCCTCCAGTGATGGGCTGAGATTGCGGGGAAGGTGGCTAAGGAATGCTGCCCTAGGACAGGGCAGTGCCCACAGCCCCCACACAGAGCCAGGAGGGGGAGCCCACATTTCCAGAGCGAGTTTCTTCTGCCCAGAGGATTCAGTTCCCTGCTCTGGCCACAGGTGAAGAAAGAGGGCAGGCGGGGAGCAAAGAGGTGGTGGAAGGCAGCTGCAGAGGGCTGTGCACAGAGGCAGGAAAAGACACTGGCCGGCTCTGGTCTGCGAGCTTTGTGGGCCTATGTCAGAGCCAGCCGAGAAAGAGCACTTGAGAAGAAACTTGAAGGTAACAGTTTCACAGACTTTGCTAACTCATAAAATTTAACCTCCAACACAATAAGCAAATTGAAGTTCCGAGGGCGCAGTTTAGGGGAACCAGAGCACCTGTGTCAAAATCCGCTCGGATGCTCTGAGCAAGCCAGTGGGAGAGGACTTGTGTGCACAGCTGAGACTGACTTAGTGTTTACCACACCTGTTCCAGGTGCTGTTCTCTAGGCATTTTCTTGCAGTAAGGAGTTCAGTCCTGTGTTAGCACCTCACAAGGGCTTACAATTCACTAATGAGAAAACCAGAGCACAGAGGAACTAAGTAGTCTTGTCTGAGGTCAACAGCAGCACCTGGGTTTGGACACGGGCTGTCTGGTGTCGGTCTGAGCTCATAACCACTCTGCTACGTTGTCTCTCAGGTGTGATAACAATCCTTTCTCACCTTCCAGACAACTGGTTCACGTGTCCAGATGGATAATGAACATGAGGTTATTTTGGAAACTATGAAGTATGCACAAATGTAAATTATCGTAAATTAAAGATAGAACTACCATATGTATGACCCAGCAATTCCACTTCTAGGTATTTATGTGAAGAAATCCAAAACACTAATTTGAAAAGCTATATGCACCCTTAGTTTCACTGCAGCACATTTACAATGTCTGAGACATGGCAGCCGCCTCATGTCCATTGACAGACGGGTGTGTGGAGACGACGTGGTGCGTGTGCACAGCGAAATGCTGGTCAGATGGGAAGAGGAGGAAGCCTCACCATTTGCAACATCATGGATGGACCTGGAGGGTATTATGCTGAGTGAAATAAGTCAGGCAGAAAAGACAAATACCATATGATTTCACGTATATGTAGAATCTAAAAAACAAATAAATGAGCAAACAAGACAGAAATAAACTCATAGAAACAGAGAGCAAACTGATGGTCGCCAGATGGGAAGAGAGTTGGGGGAATGGGTGAGAGAGAGGAAGGGATTAAGACACAGGAATTGCCAGATAGAAAAACAGTCACAGGGGCGTGAGGTACAGCACAGGGAACATCGTCAGTGATGTTGTCGACACTGCACGATGACCGACCGATGGGCACCAGACTTACCAGGGTGATCACTTTATAAGTTATGTAAACTTCTAATCACTATGTTGTTTACCTGAAACTAATATAATATTGCATGTCAACTGTAATGAAAAAAAATGTTTAAACGTTTTTAAGCTTCGTTTTTAATCAGCTCTAATGCTTTATAAATTTGGGGGCTGATTCTAATTTGCATGATCCATGCAAATTAATAAATTATTTAATAAATAATTTAACAAATTTAATAAATTTATTTAACTAATAAATGAGAACATTTTCCAGATGACCTTATCAACTGGTTTTTCTAGTAAACACGCACACAAAATGTCCTTCTTCCACCCAAAAGTGTGGGTCTCAGCCGTGGCTGCACATTCGAGTCACCAGGGATGCCCGTAGAGCCTGTCACACCCTGGCTCTGCCCCCTGGAACGGTGATGGAGTCGGAGGGGGACGGGGGTGTTGGCATCAGCGTTATGTAAAAGCTCCCAGGTGACGTGAACGTGAGCCCCGGGTGAGAGGCCCTGCTCCACCATGTCTGGCAGGGATACCTTTTCTATCCTAGAGGATGAGATTCAGCAGCCCCTCTGCCCAGAGGGCGTACCTGAGCTTTGCAGGACCTCCAGAAAGAGTCTCCCTCTGTACATGCCATCAGGGAAGGTGTGATAGATGCAGGAGTACTCCCCTGTGTCGTTCGTGGTCAGTGACTTGAGGGTGAGGTCCAGGCTGGGGCTGGGGGCCACCCGCTCCCTGAAGTCTGGGTAGATGTGCCATCCCATTTTAGTGTGGTGAATGGCCAGCATTTGGTCCTGCTGCTTCCAGTCCACCTGAGTCACTGTGGCAGTGGTGGAGGAAAGGTGACACTGTAAGGTGACAGAGCCTCCTTCCTCTGCAGAAATATTCCCTGTGGTTATTATTCTGCCTGTTGCAGCTCCTAGGGCAGGAAAAAAAGCATGCATGAGTATCAGGGTCAACAGCTGGCCTTGGACCTTCCCGTGGAAATTCCAAGGGGCTTTGCGTCCAGAATTGGCCTTTGGAATGTTAGTCTCTGCAGTCCCTCCTGTCCCTCCCCCAGGGGGACTGTAATTGTCACACAGTGGAGCACTTCACCACCCCAGGGTACACCACTGCGATACAGGTCCACGGCTGCTCCCGCGTGGCTCTCCTGTGCATACTTTGTCTCCCACCCAGAATGTAGACCCCAGGAGCCACTCTTGTGTTCCACTGTATCGCCCAGCAGCTCAGTTCCATGCTGGACTCATTCTCCTTCGAAATAAAATCTGGCTGTTTGGGTGACTGCCACTTGGGGGACCCAGAAAGCCCTCCGGGAAAGCCATGGGGTCCAAAGAGAAGGAGCACTGGACAGAAACTGTTTCTCTGAGGCAAGGCCGCCTTTCGGCCCTTACACACCTTCGATGGTTCAGAAAGCAACATAAAAACTAATGTGTGCTGCAGTTTTTAAATATCCGTGTCCCTTTTAATACAGAAGGAAACAGATTTAATATGGATGCAATCCACAATGGTAGAACCTCTAGAATCTGTGAAGAAAACATTTTGATCCACAGAAAATGTACAATGTGTTTCTAGAAGTTTCCTCAAGGACAGAAGAAAGGAAGATGGAGCAGTAGCAAAATTCTATAAGCAAATTGATTATTCCTCCTTCTTAGTTCCTTTCTCTCCCTCTGCCTCCTTTCTTGGGTGGGCCAGCCAGGTTCACTCAACCTCAGGTCCTTCATCCACCACCCATGACAGACCTGTGCCTCCTTCTCAAAGGAGGAGAGTGGGGTACAGGGCTCCAAAAACTGTGGTTCTCTTCCTGCAGACAGATGCAGCATTCATTCCCAGCCACCCGTCTTCTTCCCCACTCTCCCTCAACCTTAGGTTCTATCTCGGCTGGATTTGCAGCCCTTACCTGAAGCCAGGATGGCAGCCTGCCTCAGCCCCTGGGCCCAGATCAGCAGGAGGCCCCACTGCATGCTTCTGCCCAGAGGGCCTCCAGGAAGCAGATGTGGCCTTGTCTGCCACGGAAACGGGCCCACTGCAGATGGCGAGGCGAAACTGAGCCTATGAGGAGAGAGGGTCTCGGAAAAACTGAGTTCAGCAAAACCAAAGGCAGATAAATTTCTCAGCAAGTACACACAGTGCATAGGGCGAGCCACAAGAAAGATCGTGAAGGAAACACATTAAAAAATAAGCAAAGATGTGGTTAAAGGTACATTATACTGGTCTTCGGATTACTATTAGTCAATCTGCTGTTTTAAATTCTCTTACTGAACTTTTTTTTTTTAAATCAGCCTTTATTTCATAAGCTCAGGACATCTGTGGCATGCCTAGGATTTATAGAGCCTATTACCAACAGGTTCACTGTCTCTCCCTGACTTCACCCTGCTAGAGAGTATGCAAAGATAAGAGAAACTCAAGTCTGTTCACTTTTAGGCTAGGAACTGTACTCGAAATCTAATGAGCCAGTGAGCAAGAGGCATTGACTATGGGGGGCCAGACATGGGCCAGACACAAGTCTTGAACAAACATAGCCATTTAGCTTGAATGAGGTCCTCTCCTTGAATTCTCTGTCTTCTGTCTTGTTTATAGGGATTGAGACTGTTGAATTCCAGCTTAATCTCTCTGACCCAGTGTTATCAGAGGAGACCAGAAGAATGAGTTTTCTTGCTCATGGCAACCTCAGGAAAACCAGGAATGCTGGTTAGGATGAGCCTCCAGCTGCCTGGCCCAGGGAACAGACTGGCTGACCCTCGCTTCCTTCGTTCGTTTGAAAGTCCCCAGGTGCCTGCAAAGCACCAGACTCAACAGCCAGCTCTGGAGATATGAGCATAAATAATTGTAGCCCTGCCCTCAGCCAGTGCACAGTCAAAGCAGACTTTCTGGTGAAGCCACACTCTGAGGAGAGGAGGTGGAGGGTCCACATTCACCTGCCTTCAGGGCTCCCCACTGCTTCTTTGGGCATGCCCCACAGTGTGTACCCCAAAACTACACAGCTCTACCAGGGGAAGCATCTGAAGCCTGGAGCTCTGTCCCCGCCCTTCCTGGCAAGCACCCTGAGCATCCCACACCCTCCAGGCTCCTGTCATCCTTCTGCACTGATGCTTCACTTCAGACCAGCCCCTTCCCCTCTCTAGTCTTGCCTATTCCCAACTCTGCACCAGGGCCCGTTCATGTCCCACAGCCCACCGCCAGCTCCTTAGAAAATACATACCTCACCAGCTTCTCGCTGCCTTTCCCAAGTCAGCCTGTCCTTCCAGGCTCACATCAAAATACAACACCCTCTTCAACAGTCATGGCCCCCTTAGCTAAAGGAGCAATAATGCCTAACGTGTGTCCAAGGAAAGGTGGTGAGGTTGAACTTGTGGGGTGGACCCAAAACTGGTTGCCAAGCCAAGGGAGCCAGGAGTGGGAAAGCCAGGAGCAGCTGGTAGGAACAGAGCGCACAGCAGGGCAGACGCTGGGCCGGGATGAATGTACAGCCTGTGTTTCTATAGCAGGGACAGTTGGAAACCACAGAGGCAAGGCCTGTCTTATATAACGAAAAATACAAAGATATTCAGACTGGGTTAAAAAAAAGTTAAGGAATTGTTCTATTTGTTTCTGAGCAATCAGTTCAAAGAGGAACACGGTCAAGTCCATTGCTCTCCAGAGACATTGGAGCTGGCGATTAACAGGCTCCAGAGCAGCAAATACCTGGGTCCACATTCCCCCTGGTTTGGTCACCTTAAGAAAGTTACTCAACCTTAGGACTCAGTTTCCTTATCTGCAGTAAAAAAAAAAAAAAAAAAAGAAAAGAAAATATCCTCTTCCCCTTTTCACGGGTCATTGTGAAGATTTGGTGGATTACAGTTTGGGAGAGTATTCAGAACAGTGTCTGGAACACAGGAAGGGTCCAATTCATGGATGGCAGTATTGATCATAATATTAGTTAAGGAAGTAAAGAGAAAATCAGAAGAGAGTCTCTCTCTGTCTAGGTAATGTGTTTTGCCAGAGTAAACCCTGGTCTCTGGACTCCAAGGCCTCCTCATACTGTCCATGCATCTGACATAAGAATATGAGGATAAAATGTCCCAGCCACTGTACCAGCCGGACCCTGAAGAGGCCTTGGAGGAAGGTGAATAATGGAGGATTCTCCCCAGGGAAGCTTCCAGAAGTCCCTGTTTGGAGCCTCCTACTGGGTGGGGCTCCATCTGGAACACTTGCTGGTCTGACCAGCCACTCCAAGGAGCAGGCCTGCACTGAGAGCCCCCAGGCCGCCAGAGCCTTTGGGTCAGCTGGCCGCCTCTTGGCACGGCATGAACCTCTGTGGTCAGTCAGACATTGACTCACCTCTCAATTCAAAAGTCTTAAAAGGAGCCCCATAGTTTTTTCTGCCCTCACTTCTGCAGTTGTGGCCAAACAGGTCTGGTTAGTCTTGTTGCAGCCACATCTGTTTGCACGTGAAGGGGAAGTGGTGCTGCCCTAGAATGCAGGCCCCTCGTTCTTTTCACAGACCAACCTTCCCCTTGCCCTTCAAGCCCTGTGTGGGCCCACACACATCCACCCCCCTCCACCCCCCAGGCTACAGACGGGAACCTGCGGCCATAGGCAGAGGTCACGGAACCAAAAGAACAGAGCTGACGTGGTCACACTTTATATAAGACCTTTGATTTGTACACAGGAAACACTACCTAGATTTTTCTCTGGGTGCAGACCAATCTCTCAGCAGTGTCTTTGATCCTCAGCCTCTCCAAAGTCTTCCCTCCAGCTCCGACATGGTTGGGGAGCTTCAGGGATATCACAACTTTCTTTCTCTTTTCCCAGCCTCTCATCAAGTGCAACAGCTGGCAGCAGCAGAGGTGAGCCTCTCAGCCACGGGCTCTCTCTTCCTCTCTGTCTCGCAGACCAGCGCCTCCTGGTAGCGGGCGGTCTTCTGGCCAAGGGGACAGAGGGCCCTGTTGCCTGCAGGTCTGCAGAGGGCTCTGGGAGTGGGAAAGAGAGAATACAGAAGGGCCTGCCCTGTGTCCCCTCCCCCATCTACCCCTTGTCATAGCAAGCCTTCTCCCAGGGGAGCCATTGGAGCAAAGGGGTGGTTGTTTGCAAGCCCCTTGTGGAGAGAGCTGCCTCAGAAAATCAAAGGCCCAGTGTGAAAGGAATGGCTATCGCCTGAAGTGTTTTAATAAGTCTGTGACCCCGGGGTTTGTTGGTGGAAACTGGCTCCTGGTAAATGCCAGTGGATAGAGTCTGGGGGTGGGATTGCTGACTCTACAACTGTAGTCAGTCCAGCTCCCCCGGCGAGGCGACTCTGAGGACCTCCCTGACAAGGCTGACAAGGACCTCAGTAGACTACAGGGAACTCCCTTCCCCTCGCACCCGTGAAAGAGGACAGAGAGCCCCACAAGAGGCCGGAGTGAACAATCATTGAAAATACTTTGGGAAGAAGCCGCTGATCTCTCCTCCACTCAGGCTTCTCTGGCACATTTCTCCACAGCCCTCTCACCCACAACACCACCCCCTCAACACTCCTCCCCCGTCCTACATAGGACCATCCTGTCCGTCCACCCCTAGTCCCATCTGCCTTGGGAAAGGTGTCCTGTATCCTGGAAACTTTCATCCTGCATCCTACTCCCTGGGGCCCTCAGCCTCCAGGACAGCCAGGACTGGGATGAACGTATCTGTGAACACATCAGTCATTCTGGGGGCCGCACAATCACCAAGGGCTCTCCCTCCACCAGCAAACAGAATGCCAGGCCTAGGGGATTTCACGGGCCGGCTACAATGAACCTTTCAAGGGCAGGTAATTTCAATGTTGGTTAAATTATACACACACAAGATGTAAAGGAAAACTTCTAAATTAGTTTTATGATGCGAACTTCAAAATGATATAAAAATTGTTACAATCACGCACAGTCCTAATCTCACAAGTGTTGAGGGAGAAAAATTCTAAATAAAATAGTCATGCAGACCCCAATAGCATATTAAGCAAAATACATAATATGAGGTAGAATATATTCCAGGAAATTCAATGCTAGGAGATCTATTAATATTAAATACTAGATCTACATAGAAAAATCATATGGTTATTTCCTTTAATGCTGAAAAGAAAATTCAATCCCCATGACTGATTAAATAAAAAACACTCAGTGAAGTAAATATTGATAAGTTCTTTCTTGACATAGTTACACACACACACAGCCCCAACATCTTTTCTGATGGGAAAACACTAGAGATTTTCCCAAGGTAGTCAAGAATAAGACAGGGATACTCACTATCGCCACAACTAGTGACACTTCAGAAATGTTAGCTGACTTTATTAGGTCGGAGCAGCAGTTAGAGAATTAAAAGTAAGTATATTAACTATTTCTAGTTATATTGATGGAAAACCCAAGAGAATCAATGGGGGGGAACTCACAAAAATTTAAATTCTGCAAAATTTGCAGGATATAAAATTAATATAAATAAACAAGTAGTCTTTCAATATATAACCATTAACCAGTTAGAAGATATTTTGGAAGAGAAGCTCATTTACAATGGCACCGAAAAAAGATAAAATACTTAAGAATAAATTGGAAGAAAAATGTGCAAAGCCCACATGAAAAAACTTCACTCAAATAAATTAGCCATCCAAATATAATTTTGAATGAACCATACAAATACTAAAAGAAAACCTAGGTGACTTCCTTTAAAACCTGGAAGTAGAGAAACCCTTTTTAACTATGACTCAAAATCTTGAATTGTAAGTATAATTTTGTAAGGAATTTGACTACATAAAATTTTTAAATATATTTCAAATATTATGCTATTACAGTTGTCCCAATTTTCCCTCTTTGCCCCACTCCACCTAGTACCCTCATTCCTTCCAGCAGTTCTCCCTTAGTTCATGAATATGGATCATACCTATAAGTTCTTTGGCTTCTCCATTTCCTATGCTATTCTTAACTTCCCCCTGTCTATGTTACACCTACCAGTTATGCCTCTTAAATCTCTACCTTTTCCCCCTATTTCTCCATTTCCCCCTCCCAACTGATAACCCTCCAAATGATCTCCATATTTATGATTTTGTTCTTATTATGCTTGCTTGCTTGGTTTGTTATTTGGATTCAATTATTGATAGTTATGAATTTACTGGCATTTTAATATTCATTGTTTTGATTTTTTTTTTTTTGCTTACATAGTTCCCTTTAACATCTCATATAATAAGGGCTTGGTGATGATTAACTCCTTTAACTTGACCTTGTTGGGGAGGCACTTTATCTGCCCTTCCATTCTAAATGAAATCTTTGTTGGATAGAGCAATCTTGGATGTAGGTCCTTGCCTTTCATGACTTGGAATATTTCTTTCCAGCCCCTTCTTGCCTGCAAGGTCTCTTTTGAGAAATCAGCTGATAATCTCATGGGAACTCCTCTGTAGGTAACTATCTGCTTTTCTCTTTAGGATTTAAGATTCTCTCTTTAGGAGTAAAAACCGCCTCTTCAACAAATGGTGTTGGGAGATCTGGACAGCTACATGCAAAAAACTGAAACTCAACCACCAACCTACACCATACACAAAAATAAACTCAAGATAGGTTAAGAGACTTAAATATAAGTCGTGGCACCATAAAAGTCCTAGAGGAGCACATAGGCAGGAAAATCTCAACCATTCCACACAGCAATATTTTCACTGATATGTCCCCTAGAACAAGGGACATAAAGGAAGAATAAACAAATGGGACCTCATCAAAATAAAAAGACCCCTACACCCCTAAAGAAAACATCAGCAAAATGAAAAGGGAACCAACTGTGTGGGAAAATATATTTGCCAATGATACCTGGGAAAAGGGTTTGATCTCCAAAATATATAAAGAACTCACATGACTCCACTCTAGGAAGACAAACAATCCAATTCAAAAATGGGCAAAGGACCTGAAGAGACACTTCTCCAAGGAGGACATACAGAGGGACTAGAGACATATGAAAGGATACTCAGCATCACTAGCTATCAGAGAGATGCAAATTAAAGCCATAATGAAATACCACTTCACACTGGTCAGAATGGCCATTATAAACAAATTAACAAAAAACAAGTGTTGAGAGGATGGGGAGAAAAGGGAACCCTAGTACACTGTTGGTGGAAATGCAGACTGGTGCAGCCACTGTGGAAAACGGTATGGCATTTCCTCTTAGAAAACTAAAAATGGAACTGCCTTTTGACCAGGCAATTCCACTGCTGGGACTATACCTGAAACCTAAGAATCCTGAAACACCAATTCAAAAGAACCTATACATCCCAATGTTTATAGCAGCACAATTTACACTAGCCAAGTGCTAGAAACAGCATAAATGCCCATCAGTAAATGAGTGGATCAAAAAACTGTGGCACAGTTACACAAATGGAATACTACACAGCAGAAAGAAAGAAGGAGCTCCTACCCTTTGTGACAACATGGATGGAACTGGAGAGCATTATGCTAAGTGAAATAATCCAAGCAGTGAAAGATGAATACCACATGATCTCACATATAAGTGGAACCTAATCAACCAAACAACAAGCAAGCAAAATATAACCAGAGACATTGAAATAAAGAATAAACTGACAGTAACCAGATGGGAGGCAGGGGTGAGGAATAACAGGGGAAAGAAGAGGAAGGATCATCAAGGAACATGTATAAAGGACCAATGGACAAAGCCACAGGAGGGTAGGATTGAGGGTGGTAGGTGGGGGTGGATGGGGGGTGGGGTAAAGTAAAGTGGTGGCAGGAAAATGGAGACAACTGTACCTGAACAACGATTTTAAAAATACGTATCAAACAACAACAAAAAAAGATTCTCTTTTTAGCTTTAAACTTTGGCATTTTATTTTTTTTAAATATTTGCATTTAAAACAATCATAAAGAACAAAAGACAATGGCAAGCTAGAAAAGAATATTTGGAGCTCATTTCTCAACCAAATGATTTTTCTCCTTACAATAAGGGGATCCTAAAAATCAAGGGAAAAAAAGACCAAGAACCCTGAAGATGTCAAAATATGTAAACTGATAATTCATAGAAAAAGAAATACAAATGTTCCTGAAACACATGGAAATTTCCTCCATCCTAGTCAGAAAAGAGAGACGTACAGTAAAACTACACTGTGAAACCATTTCTCACCCACCAAATTAGCAAAAATCAAAATTTTTACACTATACTGGTGAGGCTACAGAGAAACAGGTGCTACCATGTATTGCTGTTAGCACCATAGGAATACAAAATGATACAACTTTTTTTGGATGAGAATTTGTCAATATCTGTTCAGAGCTCAGCTGGGTTGGTGTAGGAGTCCCACTTCTAGAAATCTATTCTAAGGACATAACTGCACAAATGTGAAGTGACATAGGCACAAAGTTATTCATTAAAGCATTATATGTACTAGCAAGAAGAAAAAAACATGAAACAACAACAGTAGGTGACACGGACACCAGCTGGCAGTGTCCATGGCATTGTGGATGCATGAGACATGAGAGAAATTCACACAGACTACCGAGTTCTGTGTAGGAAAAGGGATGGCATGGCTACCCTCTCAAGGGGAGGGTGCCTCGGAGTGGCCTGGCAACTCTCTCAAGAGGAGAGCACCCGGATCCTTGTCTTCATGGGGTTTTTATTAGCTGTTAATTTGCACAAAAATATAGGTAAAGTTCATTAATCATTGTCAGGCAGTAAGGATCAAACAATAGACAACATACAAAGAACTCTGAGGGTCTATTCTGAGACAGGGTCTGTTAGCTAAAAGGCTACAAAACTTTAGGAAGCAAATTCATTTCCTGCTTGTACCTTTATCATTTAACTGAGAGCATTCTTAGCAAA